AGTGGTGAGGTGCTGGGTGAGCTAGGCTGTGCATGGACTCTAGCCAGGGCAACAGAAGGACTCTTGTCTCAAAGAGGAAAATCAAAAGGGCTTGAAACAAAAGCATTGGAAGACCATTGATACTGTAAAAAAGTATACGTTCCAGTAACTCAATTGAAGCATGAATGCAAACTGCCACGACTCACCAGTGTTTATTTAACAGACACATGAACCCACAGACTAGTTCATGCAGCATGTCTCCATGGATTCGTTCGGGCATGTCGTTCATGACAGGATGCCTCTGTCTTTAAGCAGACAGTCACTTGGAGACCTAATTTGCCTTTTTCTCCCAAGATGATAAATGTCATTCATCAAAAATTTGCTGCATGCCAATTATAAGCACATGCCAGTCTAGACCCATGTGTGTGAATGGTGCTTCACTACCTCCACCAGCTCGTGATCCAGGGGGAATGGGGCAGAAATAGGGAGTGTATGTACATAAGCTTGAACACAGCACAGAAAAAGAGGCCTTAGGGATTTCCGAGGAAAGAAGCACATCAGAAGGGGACAACAGGGAAACTCGTCCAACAAGACAACTCCGTCCAAACAAGGAAAGCTATGGTACACCTGGGTCCAAGTCTCAGCTGCGCCACCTGCTGGCTTATGGTTGCAGATGGTTCACTTCACCTCTCTGAGCCTCACTTTCCTCATTTATAAAGCAGAGTGGTGGGGATTAAGTTGAGCCATGTCTAAAAGTATCTAGCATGTGGTCCCTGCTCAAAAGGAGGGGAATTTAGAAAAAAAAAATTGATAAGGCTTGGACAGATGGAATAAAGAGGGTATTCCCAACAGCAGGATTAGTACAAGCAAGAAACACAGAAATGTGGAAATGAGCCTTTTTTTAAGAAATGAGCTAAACACACGTGCGCACACACACATTTATTAAACATGGCAGATGCATCTACCACTTTAGTGGACTAAGGAAAACTAGTCGTATCTTGATAGGTCAAAGAAAACTTGGATAGAACTCAACATACGCTGAAACCTCACACACTCTCTGCCCCTAGTTTGAGGCCTGCAAGTGACCTTGCTTCTCCTGTTATTCCATCCCCAACCACAAACCCCAACCTCCACACAACCCTGTGTATGAACTGTATCTGCCCCCAAGGATCCAGGTTTCTGCAGTTCTCTCAACCAACTAGAAGCATCTGTTGAGGGCCTGCTGTGTACCAAGAGTTTTGGGGAATCTAGAGAATTCCTAAGGACTGACAGAGATCACAAAGGACTAGGCTCTTTTAGATCCAGGGTTTTTGGTCTTAGCCACTTATCATCTGTGTCTACCTAGGCATAGTATCTGACTTGAGCCCCTCTTTCCTAAAATCTAAAATTGAACATTGAGGGCTGGGCATGGTGGCTCACGCCTGGAATCCTAGCACTCTGGGAGGCTGAGGCAGGAGGATCGCTTGAGCCCAGGAGTTTGAGGTTGCTGTGAGCTAGGCTGACGCCATGGCACTCACCCTAGCCTGGGCAACAAAACGAGACTCTGTCTCAAAAAAATTGAGCAGTGACAGTAGTTTATGGGTGACAGTAGTTTATGAAGGTGCTATATACACCCATGCTCAAGATTCTTTTTATTTCATTTAGAGGTGACCCTTCCAACTGTTTCCATTCAATCCATAATGCTTCACTCTGTTTTTACTGCATGCTGTGTTGAGACTCCCTCTTGACTCCTAGAAGATCCCTTTCCATCATTTTCAGATGGGGAAACAGAGGCCCGAGGGACTGGGCCAAGGTCAGAGGCTGATGTTCCCAGGAGGCCGTGGTCAGAGCGCAGTGGCCCTGGAGAGCAGTGCTCTGGTTTTTCTTGCAGGCTGTACCAGTCCGTCAAGCTCCTCTACATCATCGGCATCCTGTGCACCTATGCCCTGCAGTTCTACGTCCCTGCCGAGATCATCATCCCCTTCGCCCTCTCCCAGGTGCCAAAGCGCTGGGCATTGCCTCTGGACCTGTCCATCCGCCTCGCCCTGGCCTGCCTGACATGTGAGTCACAGGCAGAGCGCAATGTTCCTGCTGATCTTTCCCAGGGGGCTGTCAGGAGTTGGCCGGACGGCAGAGGATAATCATGACAACTAGCATTTACTCAGCACTTACTGTATTTCAGAGGCCATTCTAAAGCTTTACAAGAACGAACTCATTTAAGCCTCAGGGACAACTCTATTCTTACACGTACTTAATTAGACAGGTTTATTGGTGCCCAGACTAAGGGAGTGACACAGCTTATCGAACAACAATCATAACAAGAACTGACAGGTATCGAAAACTTACGGTGTGCCAGGCACGGTACTAAGCTCTTTCCAGTCCACATTTCATAGTATTTTATTCTGTCATCATGAGAATTCTCCAGAGCTGGGATAAACCCTACTTTACAAAAGAGGAAACTGAGGCAGTGAGTGATAAATAATCAGCCAGGGAGTGTCAGTGGTGGGATGTGAGCCCAAGTCATCTAAGTCCAGAGCCAGTGTCCTTCACCTCCAGGAGAGGCACTGGAAATGGGCAGCCAGGCCGGCTGCAGTGGCTCATGGCTGTAATCCCAGCACTTTGGGAGGCCAAGGAGGGAGGATCGCTTGAGGCCATGAGTTCAAGACCAGCCTGGGCAACATGGTGAGACCCCATCTCTGTAAAAAACAAAAAAAGAAAGAAAGAAAGAGGGCAACCAGCAAGTCTAATATGGCAACAGGTATTGTTTTACCCTCACAATGTTGTATACATTTGGGCCAACATTAAAAATGTGGGCAATTTCACATACAAATCCAGATTTCTGGATTATACAAATCCAGAAAAATAATTATGGATTATACATATCCATAATTTTGGGGGTAAAGGAAATAAAATGATTTGACAAGCCCAGGGTCACATTCTCTATCAGCAACAATCAGCAGGAGCTCCTTGGCCCCTGGATGGTCTCGTGCTCACCTGTCAGCCGAGGCCGGCCCCACTCACCCCCTCTTAGCCCTCCTGTGTGCCCAGACCCCGTGATGCAGAGTGCCCCTGTCTGCAGTATTTCACCAGACACCAGAGGGGATGTTAGAGATTCCTGCATTAAGCGTGAGCTGGCCCAGCTCTCCCTAAGGCTCCCTTTGACTGTCACTGCTAAAGTTTCTTCTTTTTTAAGGCTGAATAGTATTCCACTGTAGGCATATACCACATTTTCTTTATCCATTCATCTGTCAATGGACATTTAGGAGATTTTTTTTTTTTGCATTTTTATGGTATGATGAAGTCTTTACTTTTAAATGAATATCAGTACATCAAGTAATAACATGTAACAAGTTCTTGAATTCTATCATCTAGTAATTTTGATTGAAAGAAGCTAAAAGCGGCCCCAAACAATTACACTTGTATTCACTGTCCTAACCATTAACAGAAATGGACTGTTTTAAGTCTGACTGCTACTTCATACAGGTTACAAATAACTACTTATTCCCTTTTCACAGATAAAGCCCCTGAGCATCAAGAAAATGTTACGGGGAAAAAATTATTTAATCCCTTTCTTTCTTTAAAGAACTGGTTTTTTTTTTTCTTTTTTACTAGATCTAAGAAAGAAAAAGTCAACCTTGATATCTATGTTGCTTGAGCTAAAGGCATAGGAAAACAGGCAATGTATACTCGTTAAATTTCTAAGAAATAGGAAGTGAAAAGATGAAATCTTTAGATAAGTTCTAAGTCTGTCCAAGGAAGCTAGATTGGCTACTTTCCAGAAAGTGAGAGGACCTACTATATAATACACAGAAATAATTTAATGGCTTTTCATAAGAATGTAACTGGGGCTTTGCTAAAGCTACGTATTCCATGAAGCATCTAAAATAGCAGCCCGTGGAAAAGGGACTCCTCTTGTATCCATTTGTGTGGTAGTTTTCATGGATTTCTGGCCAGATGTTCCAGACCAAGGCCAGGAGGTTATCCAAGATTTCATCCTTGTGCTAGAAATGGGCTGCAGGACCGTCCTCTCCTCCTGGGTCTGCTTCTGTGCTTCAGTGCTGCAGCTGCCCTGGCCATGAACTCCTTCTCCCTCTGCAGGCCAGCCGTTCAGCTTCAGCCCGGCTCCCTTGGGCTGCTTCAGCCTCTGGGTCTTTGCTTGTGGCCTCAGACACCTTCTCCAGTGCCCACCGCCGGTCTTGCAGTAGCGGCAGGGTCCCCTGCTACTGACTAGCCGAGGAGATTCTTGATTCTCACTGTACTAGACCAGCCCTTTGCATTTATTAGCCACTAATTTTTTTTTCTCTTGAGGGGATTGATGCATTGTCAGTTGACCTTGGTAACAGGAACCACTCAGAGATTCTAGAGAAATCAAAGAATTTGCCCCAAAGTATGAGAGTAGCAAACCCTGAAGCCTAAAACTACAGCTTCTTAAAGCATTGCTTCAATTAGTACTTATGAGTAAGTAACTTGGAGTGGAAATGAAGATAACTTTTCTGAGTGCTTCATTTGCATTAATTAGCATATCTAGAACTTTAATGCCATGGGCAGCACGAATACCTAAAAGGGTAGGTGGCATTTATCCCCAGGCTGACAAAGGATTGGAGACTTGGCCAAGGCCACACAAGAAAAAGCCAGATTCCTGCCTTCCAGACCCGTTTTCTTTCTGTTACACCATACTCCTTTTCCAAAGGAAGCCTAGTCGGGGCTTCTGGGATTTCTTGGTGACCAGGAACATTTCCATCAAATAAAATAAAATTAAAAATATAAAAGCCTAGGCCTGTAAAACATCCTGCTGAAAAAAATATAATTGTGAAATCTTTAGCTTTTCATGTTTCTTTGTCGGATGTTTTCTGACATGTATAAGAAACTTGGAGAAGGCACTTCTTTAATGAGACCATGGGTCTCATTCCAACTGAAGATCCCTTTGTGCTATAAATGATTTTGCATCCTAATTGTCTGCAAGTAAGAGGTTCTTGTACTCATGCTAATTGTTTATTAAAATATTAAGTCTACAAAGGCAGGATTTTAAAAAATATATATTTTGTCTGGTTTTATACATCGGTGTATCCCAAATGGTTTGAACAGTTCCCAGCAATGTTATTTAGTGTTATTTGTTAAGAGATTAAGTGTCATTGAATATGTAGGGATCTAAAACGTACCTCAGTAGCATAAAGATCATTTTAAGTTAAAAACACTTGAATAAATAGCAGCTGCAGAAAAAAGCTTTACCTAAACTTCTTTGCTGATGTAACCAGAGCCTCCAGAAAAATAGTAGCTGCCATAAATCCCTTCTCTGGGAGGTTTAGAGCCAGAAAGGAGACTAACTGCTATCATTGGACTGACTAATCGCTTAATAAACTTTATCTGAAATGGTCATACCTTCCATTTGTTCTTCCATAGAAGCCCTTCCTCCTCCTCCCTTTCCTCTTATTCAGTGGGTATCTTTGGCTGTTCTGGAAGCCAATTTATCTACAGATCCACGGTCTCATTAAAGAAGTGCCTTCTCAGCCGGGCACGGTGGCTAACGCCTGTAATCTTAGCACTCTGGGAGGCTGAGGCGGGCGGATTGCTTGAGGTCAGGAGTTCGAAACCAGCCTGAGCAAGAGCCAGACCCCGTCTCTACTATAAATAGAAATAAATTAATTGGCCAACTAATATATATAGAAAAAATGAGCCGGGCATGGTGGCGCATGCCTGTAGTCCCAGCTACTCAGGAGGCTGAAGCAGGAGGATCGCTTGAGCCCAGGAGTTTGAGGTTGCTGTGAGCTAAGCTGACGCCACGGCACTCACTCTAGCCTGGGCAACAAAGCGAGACCCTGTCTCAAAAAAAAAAAAAAGTGCCTTCTCCAAGTCTCTAGAGCTGCTAAATAAACTTTGTCTTTTCTTCTGTTAATCTTGTCTATTCTCAGTTAAACTTACAGGCTCCCAACCACTGACCCTAAGTTGGTAGAGGAAACATTTTTCCTCCCAACCATATAAATATATATATTTGAAAAATAATTGGAAAGAGACAGGGTTTCTTCTCATTTGTTTTTTGAGACAGGGTCTCTCTATGTTGCCCAGGATGGCCTTAAATTCCTGGGCTCAAGGGATCCTCCTGCCTCAGCCTCCCGAGTAGCTAGGACTGCAGAACTTCGCTACCACATCCAGCAGAAGTTTTAATATGTAACCTCTAGGGCAGGCGTCCTCAAACTACGGCCCGCGGGCCACATGGGGGTGTTTTTGCCCATTTGTTTTTTTACTTCAAAATAAGATATGTGCAGTGTGCATAGGAATTTGTTCATAGTTTTTTTTTCAAACTATACTCCGGCCCTCCAAAGGTCTGAGGGACCGTGAACTGGCCCCCTGTTTAAAAAGTTTGAGGGCCCCTGCTCTAGGGAGTGTGATCAGCGGTATAAGAGGGCTTTCAACTTTTACTTTCTATAACTTAATTTCTGAGAAACGCTGCTTTATTTTTTTAAGAAGATTTTAAGGACAAACATTGATAGTTTGCTTAAGCCTGTGATCCTCCATCTGCCCTCTCTCATCCTCCTGCAGGCATCCTGGCCATCCTCGTCCCCCGCCTGGACCTGGTCCTCTCCCTGGTGGGCTCCGTGAGCAGCAGCGCCCTGGCCCTCATCATCCCACCCCTCCTGGAGATCGCCACCTACTACTCAGAGGGCATGAGCCCCCTCACCATTGCCAAGGACGCCCTGATCAGCATCCTGGGCTTCGTGGGCTTCGTGGCAGGGACCTACCAGGCCCTCTATGAACTGATCGAATCAGAAGAGTCTCTCCCCTTTTCTAACTCCACCACTTTTGTTCAGTGACCATGGTGCTGCTTCTTGCCCACCAGTACCTGACTTATGATGACACGGATCTCTTTCACTTGCATTATCTTTATAATGCATCTTTACTTTGCCTTTTCTCTGAGCCAACTCGAGGTGAAACAAGGAAGGACTCACCAGCTTAAAAGTCTAATTGGTAATTTTAAATATATATATATATATATATATACACATATTTTCGTTTATTTCTTGTTCTCACCATCTCTTACTTTCTACTAATTTGAGAACTCTTGCATGGAAGCTGTCTCCCAAGTCTTGCCAACTTTTTGGTAATTCACGTGGTGAATTTCACATCCAGAGTGGAGCTATTCAAAAAGAAGCCACCAGGGGACCCCACAGGGCAGCAACTGGAGGAAAGAGAGGCGCAGCCAGCTGAGGCTGACCATGCTTTTGGCAAAGCGTTTCGCCTTTTCTGGATCTATTCAAAAAGCAAACACTAGGAGTAGAGACATGATGCACAACCCAGCAAGACGTGCACAGCACCAGTGTCGAGATGGACAAGGCCAAGATGACCAATGAGAGTTGCAACTCTCAGATAGAAAGGAGACTTCCATATTTAAGTCAAGGGCAATAAACTTTCCAAACCACTGGATAAAGTTTTGGCCCAGTTCAAAGATTCCAGCACTGACTAGGAGGCATGGAAGTAGATGTGCCAGTCGGGGGCGCGGGGGGTGGACATAAACATTATTTGAATGGACTTTACATCTTAATTCTAGCAAAAAACATTCTGGATTCTACTGTGTGCAAAACATAGTGCAAGGTTCTTGTAGAAGATAGCAAAAATTGCCATAAATTCCTCTTGATAATGTGCTTTTGTGGTTCCTCCTATCAAGAGATGAAGCCTATATCTCTACCCCTTAAATCTGGTCTTGACCTTGTAGTTTGCTTTGGCCAATGGGACGTGCAAATCCGACGCACACAGAGGCTTAGTGATAGCTTGTGCATCGGGACTTACGTCTCTTGCTGCTCTGTGGAGGATGACAGACCGTGTGGAGCGTACATGAATCATCCCAGTTGAGCCCAGTCCCTCGGATCAACCAGCCTGCCAACTTCCAGACACACGAGTGAAGCCATCCTAGACTATATGCAACCCCAGACATAGAAGCTGACCCAGACCATGGAATTGTGCAGATGATCCACAGAACCGTGATAAATAATAAATGTATATGATTTTAATCCCTAAGGTGTGGGGGAATTTTATGCAGGAAAAGCTAACTGATACATCACTCTAAAGGGGGTACATTGATGAATGAGAAAAGAATCCCTACTCTGAAGCAGCCAGGCTGCTGTCCATCGGGAAAGAGTAACAGGCAATCAACTAAGTAAAGGCCATTGTGCATCCTTTTAAGGGCAAGTGGCACCAGCTGCTCTGGGGGGGGGGGAGAACCAAGAAAGACTTTCCACAGGTGCTGCTGTTTGAGCTGGGCTTTGAGTAGAACTTGGGTCTCCCAATGCTGAGCCTGGCCCTCCCTCCACTCTGCCTACTGCCTGGTCCTTCCAGTGCCCATGCTTGTGTCTGACTTTGGCTGGCGGCCAGGGGCCAGTCAACCTGAGACATCACCTCCACCTTTCTGGTGGTGACTGCTCTCTCTCCCCAACCCCACGCAAATTACTAAGATTGGGAAAATGCACCTAGGTAATCCAGTAGATGTTGCAGATCTATAGTCCCAGGACGTTGTGGGGAGGGGTTCTTATCATACTCTCTGTAGTTTTGGGGAGCAATTCATGCTTGTTTGAAAACATTTGAAAAAGCCCTTTTCTATTTATTTTCATCTATCCACCTCCCAGTTCTTCAACGGGACCAATCCAAATATCAGCCCTATATGACCACTTCCTGGGGTGGCCACCTCCCTATGGGACAAGATACAACCTACTTGTTTCCCCTCTGACCCCCACGCCCCACACGAACTGCACAGGTATGCCACGGTGACCTCCTGGAAGTCATGTATGCTTGCTTTAACCTACCAGTTAGAGCTCCCCGCAGGAAACCTGCTTGGGTGGGTAACACCCTGGACCCCTGTAAAGGTTTTGGTCCCATAGGCTTCCTGCCTTGCTCCCCACCAGCTGGTTAAGCACACATGTCCCAGATGGTCCCCATGTCCTGTTAGCCCTGCAAGGCATGCTGCCCTCTCTCTCTCGCTCTCTCTCTCTCTCTCTCTCTCTCTCTCTCGGATCTGTCAGTAGTAAACACTGCTTCTGTTATTTCATGGGTTTTGTCGCACAGACTCCTGTCTTCCCTGACACACTCCAACCTGACTCTCCTCCTGGCCTAGGGTCTCCTAGGGAGTGTCTACCTTCGTTTATGCCCATTCTCAAGACAAAGATCTCGAGACCAAATTGGGAAAAAATCACAACAAGAACCTCTCAGATAAAAAGAAAAAAGGGTAGATTATTCAATAACTAGTGTTGGGGAAACTAGTTAGCCATTGGGAGAATGAGTGAACAACCACAGAAATAACAACTTCCTGGAAGCTCACCAGATGCGGAGCGCCATTCTCCATGCCCTGCTCATACGAACTTAATCTTCCAACATCCTCTAACACTTTTTAACAATGTTAAAAAAAAAACAAACTGATAGATTAGATTGCACAAAATGACCATGTTAAATGTTATTATTGTTGTTTTTGTTAACTCATTCTCCAAATGGCTAACTAGTTTTCCCAGCGCTAGTTATTGAGTAATTCTATCCTTTTCTCATTTTGTTTGAGAGGTTATTCTTGTGATTTCTTTCTAATTTGGTCTTTCATCGCCCCTTTTACAGGCGGGTCTCACGCCAGCGCTCGTGTGTGCGTGACGGAGGCTGCTCGCTCTGGGTGGGGGTGATTTTCACCTTCTTCATCTTGTAGCTTAGAGCTTTTGCTTTGCTTTGTTTTGAAATGAGCGCAGCATGTATTATAATTGCCGGGATTGATTTTTTTAGAGGTGTTGCCCTGGTTCTTTGGCTCCTGACTTGAAGGAGTTACAAGCCAGGCTGGTGGGACAATGACAGCAGACACTTAATACCTCCACACAAGCAGCTTTTATGGCAGGCTTGTCAGCATGGGATAGAAAGTGAGGGCATTTGGGGTCTACATTTCCTGAGGGCAAATGGGTCTATCTCCATGAGTGGAGAAGACCCTGGGGTCTTACCACCCTTCTATTTTTATCTCTACACCTTAGGATAAGTTACTGTCCTGGGAAAAGAATGGAGAGTTCTCAGAACAAAGGGCCCTCCCCATTTTTATCCTTACAGGGTAACTTCCAGGGGTTGCCATGACAATTGTAAACTGTCATGGTGCTGATGGGTGTGATTTTTACTATGTCAATGAATGTTAACGGGAAAAAGGTCACCTTTGGACATGAGCTCCTAGTTTCTGCTCATGCTCCTGGCCTGGAACAGTCCCTAACCTCAAGTTCCTGCTGTAGTGGGTTAGGTTCTGAATGCTCATTGGTCTCCTCCTTTTTGCCCCCCTCCTCTCTTCCTGTGGTTAATGCTGCCCACCTGCACCTGCCCCTAACTTCTTCTATTGCTGTCTGTCTGTTTACTGTCTGTCTCCCTGAGAACATGCAAACTCCTTGACAACAGGCCCACGGTGTCTCCTGTTTGTTGCTAAGTCTGCAGTGCCTAATACAGAGTAGGCATTCGCTAGGCAAGTATTAAAGCGATGAATAAATAAATAAACGCAATGGGAGAGGGGAAATAATTTTCAACCTAAGAAAAAGTCTTTAGATCACCCGTGGAGAGAGAAATTTCATTTGCTATTCAGAGGAAAAGAGAGGCTCATCGTGTTGATGTATGGCAGGACTAAGAGTTGAGCTGGGCATGCTTTGGCCTCCCTTAATCTTCATAAGCAACCCGCGCAGTCCCTCCCAAGGAGCATGCTCTGCAAAGGCAGCTTCGAGGAGAGACTTTGTTGATACCCGTCCCATCCTTCCCATTACTCGGGCCAAAACTACAGGAGTCATCCTTAACTCCTTTCTTTCTTCTACAGCCATCTGAACGCCGTCAGCACAGCCTCCTGGCTTTAGCTTTTAAAAAATATGGAATTCACTCACTTCTCACCATCTCTTTTACTACCGCCCTGGATCAAGCCACTGCTGACTGCCACCTGGGACATTGCAAGAGCCTCTTAGATTACTGCACTGGCCTCCTAATCCTGGTTGATCTCCCTCACCCTCCTTCAGTCTGCTCCCAGCAAAATGGTCCAAGATGTAAGTCATGTCACTTCTCCGCTCAGAACCCTCCAAGATGTCTCATCTTTCTCAAAGTAAAATCCAAAGGCATTGCAATAGCCTACAAGATCCTGCCCACTCACTCCACCGGCTCCCTTTACCTCTCTAAATGCATCTCTGGTGTGACTGTGTCATTTATCACCCAAACCAGGATACTTTTACTTTTTTATTTTGTTTTATTTTATTTATTTATAGGCAGGTTCTCACTATATTACTTAGACTAGATTTGAACTCCTGGGCTCAAGTGATTCTCCTGCCTGAGCCTTCTGAGTAGCTAGTATTACAAGCATGCACCACCATGCCCAATTTCAGGATACTTTTCATAGTGAAAGGAGGCACTATTAATAATTATGTCAGGGCAACAGGCACAAACCTGGAAAATACTATGCAAACCAGACACATCTACACCACTCGTCTCCCTTCTCCTTTGTGCACTCTGAGCCAGCCATGTGTCCTTGTTGCCACTCCTAAAATACCCCAGGCACTCTCTCTCCTGTCTCAGGACCTTTGCACGTGTTGTCCCCTCTGCTTGAAGCTTCTTTTTCTTTTTCTTTTCTTTTCTCTTTTTTTTTTTTTTTTTTGAGACAGAGTCTTACTCTGTTGCTCAGGCTAGAGTGCTGTGGCATCAGGCTAGCTCACAGCAACCTCAGACTCCTGGGCTCAAGCGATCCTCCTGCCTCAGCCTACCCAGTAGCTAGGACTACAGGCATGTGCCACCATGCCCAGCTAATTTTTTCCATTTATTTATTTTGCATTTATTTTAGTTGGCCAATTAATTTCTATTTTTTCAGTAGAGACTGGGTCTCGCTCTTGCTCAGGCTGGTTTCGAACTCCTGACCTTGAGCTATCCTCCCGCTTCGGCCTCCCAGAGTGCTAGGATTACAGGCGTGAGCCACTGCTCCGGCCTTGCTTGAAGTTTCTTACCCAAGATGTACACGGGGCATGCTCCCTCGCCTTGCTTACCCAAATGTCACTTTCTCGGTGAGGCCCTCTCTGACCACCTGATCTAAAATTGCAACCCGCCTCTGGCCAGCATGCCCCATTCCCCTTTCCTGAGTTATTCTCTACCGCGCTTATTATACCTTTGCTTTGCTTATTGTCCGTCTCCCCCAGCCCCACAGACTGCTAATAAATTCCAGGAAAGCAGAGACTGTGGTAGGTCTTCTACTTTAATGTATTCCCAGCATGGAGAACAGTTCCTGGCATCTATTAGGTTCTCTATAAATATCTGTTGAACAAACAATTGTTCTTTTAAGTTTACCTGTACTCCCGAATAGCTAGCAGCCCATATACCCTCCTGCACAGAAATTGGCAAGTGGCAATACAGCAAGTGGCACTTGAACTGGGCCCTACGAGCCGAGCCGGAGCCGAGCCGTCTTCCCCCCTGCGCAGGGAAGGTGGCACCTCTCTGTCAGCCAGCCCCGCGCTGGGGTTCCGGGGCAGCTTATTGGCCACGCAGCCCCCATTGTGAGGTAGCTCTGCTGTCCTCCTAGCCAGACAAGGCAGACAAGCACCGAGTCGGGACCCCATCCAGGCACCAGGACCTCCAGTCCAATGGTGCCTTCTTCCTCCCAGTCACACGGTTCACGTCGCCCTACAGCCGCGGGGGCCGAAGTGGGGGAGGCCGAAAGCCCAGGCGCGTCGTGGCGGGAGCGGGCGCCGCTGCGGGGGGGACCGAGCCTCGCTGGGCGATGGGGCTCCCCTAAGCCCCCCGCTCGCCGCCGCCGGGTGAGGCAGCAGCAGCCGCAGCAGCCTCTGGAGCCGCCACCGCGTCCCTGACTCGCGCGCCCTTGGGAGCTAGGAGCTCGGGTCTGCAGCCATGCGTTCTCCGGGGAAACACCCGCCGCAGGAGGCTCCTGCAAGGCCCTAACCCCGAGCTTCGCCGCCCCGCCGAGCCACCTCGCTGAAGATGTCATTTCTTGGAAGGGACTACAGCAGTGAGCTGGACGCCTTGGGTCATGGCTCCAAGTCGCTCTCGGAGAGCAGCAGCAGCAGCACGACTTCAGAGAGCGACCGCCCCGCCGAGGAAGCGGGGCTATCGTAAGTGACCATGCCACCCTTCCAGAACTTAGGTCGAGCGCTGCTGCTTTTTGCAGCTCCAGACCCCTTTCTCTCTCCTCAACACTCGTATCCCGTTGAACAGGAGCTACATGGACAAAGATGAAACCTTCAGAGTCTGAGAAGGTCGAGCCCTGTGGCTCTGGGTATTACCTGTGTCCTAGATTTGCAAAGTGACCCAGCTAGAGCAGCCGTCCCCCACCTGAGCTGCCGGGTTCTAGAACAGTTTGCTAACTCGGGCTGGCTTTCCTCTCCTGGCACATCTGCCACTATTCCTTTTCCTCCCCCTTCTCTCTCTCTCCTCTCCCCTCCCAGATCCATCCAGAAAACAAATGGTCACCTGCCAATCCCATGTCTCTGCCTTTACTGCCCCAAACTCAGACGCGTGGAACTTTTCTCTAGGACTTCACTGTCAATCAGACAGTTATCTGATCAGATCAGATAATAGCCATCTGAGTAATAGTTTGTAAATGACAATCCCCGGTGTTGATAAGGGTACTAGGAAATGTCTTCTCCCATGTCCTTTTGGGGGGAATTAAATTGGTACCTTTCTAGATGGTAGTGTTGCATGTCAAATCCTAAAATGCCATTTGTACAAAACATACAAATACTTATTGGGCAAACGCTATCTTTGAAAGTACACACACACACACACACACACACACACACACACACACACCCCTGACAGCAGTAGCAACCTCTGGGAAAGAGAATTGGGAGATGAAGAGACAGAGATAGGAGAGAGATTTGTATTTATGTCATAAGGTTTTTTTGGCTGTTTTTGTTTTGTTTTACCCTTTGAATTTTGTGCTCTGAGTGTTCCTACGTAGTGTAACTAAATATAAATAAATATATCCTTTGATCAATAATACCACTTCTAGGAATTTTTCCTAATGAAATAATAGCACAAGCACACATGATAATTTTTATCGAAGCACTAGTTATGATAGTGAAAACTTAGAAACATTAAGAGAATCGTAGGTCAGGCATGGTGGCCCACACCTGTAATCCTAGCACTCTTGGAGGCCGAGGAGTGGGGATCACTTGAGTTCAGGAGTTGGAGACCAGCCTGAGCAAGAGCGAGACCCAGTCTCTACTGAAAATAGGAAAAAAAATTAGAGAATGGCTAAAGTATGGTACAAATATACAGTAGAATACAGTATATAGCCAATAAAAGTAATGGAGAAAATCTATAGACATGGAGAATGTGTAGTACATACTATTCGTACAAAAAATGAGTTTAGGATCCATCATGTATAGCAGTTCTCCTTGTGTGAAATTCTGTGCATTTATTTAGAAACAAATAGGGATGCCCAGAGGAATATTAATCATAGTCTGTGGTTATTTCCGATTGGTGGGATTTTTGGAATTTCCTTTTATAATAGCAATGTGTTATTTTTCAAGGAAAAAAAATATAAAGCTAAATTTTTAAAAAGGCCCAGAGGAGCTGCCCCATGTGTTTAATGCCCAAGGCCCTGACGTGTAATGCTGTTCGCTAAGGCTCAGTGGCTTCTCCAGAGCCTTGTCCCACCTTTCCCATGAGATCTGATTCAAGTGGGGCAAGGTGCTGTCGTAGGAAAGAAGCGAGAGAGAGAGAGCACATCTTTTGAAGAAATTACTACTAAAGAATTGAGAAAAGGGGAAAAATAGATTTTTTGACATATTTTTCAATAATTTCAGTTATTAAGAAATAAAATATATTTCTTAGAAGTGAAGGGACAACAGGTTCCCACGCCCCCCCTTCCCTTAGGTGAATTGACTGTCCTAACAGAGATGTGGGAAGTCACAGAGGCCCCAGTGGCCTGCCTTTCTCTCATCTGACAGTCGGTATCCCAGGTCCGTATTGGAACGCAAAGGCCTTGCGCAGCCTCCTCCTCGTGGCTCCCCTAGTCGTGACTCCCTAAGGGATGAGATATAGACACAAGCGCTCTCTCTGATGGACTCACTGGGTGACCTGGGGCTGTGGATTTCCGCTCTCCTGGCCACCTCCAGACAGTGTAAGGGTGGCAGAAGGGGTTCTCTGTTTTGGCTGAAGACTTGGACTGCACCTCCAATGGCCTCCTGCAGGAACCCTTTTGTTCCAGGTGGAGGGGGCACGTCTACTTGCTTAAACCAGCCCTTGCTTGCCTTTGTTCTACCACCCCAACCCTGCTTCCTCTTCAAAGAGGCTCTTTCCAACAGGTGAGCCCCAGGAAGGCCAAATCCAAGATGGCGGCAATGATGGTGATGAAGCTCACATCTGTGAAACGCTTCATGATTTCAAGACTCATCATGTCACTTCCTCTTTTGATTCTCACACATCCCTGGGACATAGGCAGGACTAGAATTATTCTCCTTTTTTTGGCAGGTGAGGAAACAGGATCTAAGCAGACATTAAGGAGCTTCCCAAAGTAGTAACCAAACACAGTAGATTAATGGCAGAGCTAGAACTCAGAATCCAGTGCCCCAACCTCTGGATTCAGTGCTCTTGCACTCACTTTTCATGCAAGTTCTTTTTTGATTCTGTTCTCATGGTCCCATTCCCACTGCCCATCCTCAATCCCCATCAGGATGGAAGCTGCCAGCACAGGTACAAAGACCCCTGGTACCCAGCACTCTGCTACATATCGCAAACACTGTGTGCACATTAGTAGTCATCATAAATTATTACATTTTATCTGATGCATAGCATGGATATATTACATAGAAATTCATAGATTATATATATATATAGCAATTCATATTCACAATGAATATTGATTGAATAAATAATTGAATTGAATAAATTATTGAATAAACTAGAACCAGTAAATATTCCTATATGTGGTAGATGGTTATTTTGGTTTTTTTTTCTAGTGAGTGAGCTAATAAATAACCTGATGCCAATAAATACTCTGTAAATTGAGGCAATTATGACTAATTTTTGTCATTGTCTGTCTAAATGGTAGACAATGTAGTGTCAGTAAATATTGAGTGAATAAATCATGAACGGAATCATCAGATCAATTAACAAATCAGCTGGTACTAGGGAGTTATCCAGAATGGTAGCAATTTTAATGAACTTTGTCTTTAGAGCCTAGTGTGCACTAAATATTTGTTGACACTCCTGAATTCACACCAGCCCTGGATCTGATGTTCCAGGACAGATCCCTAGAATGGAGAGTTGCCCCCGAGTCCACTTCATCCAGTCCTGTCCCTCTTCCCCAAGTCTTGTCCCTCTTCTCCACAAGCGCCACTAGAGCTGCTGGAATCAGGCTGAGCCCTGGGCCACCCTCCCCTCCCACTGACAGTGCCCTCTTGCCTCCCTGCTCTCCCCACCACAGGCTGCCGCAAACCTTGATCCACCTGCTGAAATGCAACATCGGCACAGGGCTCCTGGGGCTTCCCCTAGCCATCAAAAATGCCGGCTTGTTGGTAAGATGCATCTGTTGGACAGGAACTAGGCTTACCTATTTGGGGGAGGGGTTTAGGAGTCCCGAATGCTTTCGTACTATTTATCAGTGGGCACTTTGGGCGGACCTTCTGCAATAGGAAATGTGCCTGTTGGCATCAAACCACTGGAGCCAACGTAGGACCAAACCGTGCCTCCCGAGAGTGGGTGGGCCACTGCTCTTAACAATCCACCTTCTCATGGACTCCACCATCCTTCCCCTTCTGTTTCAAAGCATTTGATGGCACCTGAGAAAGTGGCTTGAATACGAGGATAGATGCCCCCACCGATCCCACACTCCCCCTGCGCCAACCCACCCCATCTCTTTTGTCTTATTGATCCCAACTCCCTTGCTTTTGCCTTGTGAACTTTGCTCCTCTCTAAAACTTTACTCTTTCCTATGAACATCAATGCTGCCATACCTTGTGTTTTTCTACAACTTATATCTACCTCATTTGGAATTCCTAAAGTACTTGCAAAGATGAGATATATCTAGGTTTTTTTTTTAATAGACCTAGTATCCTCAGCTAACTGAAAATTCTGAGGCCAAACTGTCTTATTTTCTTTTACACCTCCCCACAATAGCTGCTGTAGAGACGGGCACACAGCAAGAAGCAATTAAGGTCTATCAAACTGGATTGATACCAATTCTATAGTTTTCATGTAGTTGCAGTGAATTTTTTTCCTTCTCTCCACACCTGGTAAGTGGATCCATGTCTAAAAAGGCAAAGCAAGACCCCTGCTTCCTCTGACACAACTTCTGATCTCTAGTGGTTCCAACCCGGAGATGGGACCCTCCCCTTTGGAAAACTCTGGGTTCTAGAACCTTCTACCGAAGACGTGGCCTTCAGCCAAACTCTCTTTGCCAGTGTGGTATTTGCTTTTTAAGACAGCTCTTGTATCCTTTGATTTTTGCTTCCTAAGAGGCATTTGATGTTTTTTCTTTATCTTCCATTTCCCACCAGAACCTCCGACCATGATTTATTTGAAAAATATCTATCAAGTACCTACTATGTGCACTCTTAGCCCCTAAGAGTATAGAAGTAAACAAGGCAAGAAAGTGTCTGCCACATGGAGACTACGTTCTAGTGGAGTCCAGGGGTGCTCTTGATCGCTCATTTGTTTCTTTGTGATAGGTCACATCTATAAAGACGTGAGTGTCCAGAACGAAGGAGTTGAGAGAGACCCTCTTTACTCTGTGCCCTTCTGATCACATCTGGAAGATTATGATTAATAATCAGCTCTACTTTTTAAAATGAATATTGGCAAATTAGATGCCCTAGAAGTGATTCTCAACTTGGGATAATTTTGTGCCCCACCCCAGGACATTTACAATGTCTAGAGACATTTTTGGTTGTCACAACCTGGGGGTGGGGGACACAGACACCTAGTGGGTAGAGGCCCAGGGATGCTGCCAAGTATCCTACAGTGCACAGGACAGCTTCTTACAACAAAGAATCACCTGCCCCCAAATGTCCAGAGTTCCACTGTTGCTAAACTTTGTATTAGAGGGAGAGAACTAAGTCACAAGAGAAACCTTGGTCTTCAAGCATCTTGGTGGAGATGCAGACCAGGGTGTGTACAAGGAATTTACTATGGAGGGACTCTAAAAGGGTAGATATGGCAGATAAGAAAATGCATGGGCTGTGTGGGGAGATAGTGAGCTCTCTGTCATTGGAATTATTCTAGCAGAGGTCGAGCAGCCACTTTATAGCAATTGGCTAACAAAGGCATTCAAACCCTACCATATGGGGGCACAAGGACATTCAGACAGGGTCTCTCATCCAGAGACAGCTTTATTATGCGAGGGGCCATAGCACTTGGACTGGGAGAGGGCCAGGGTGTGGGAATGGTCACTATGTGACTCACTGTCCCTGTCTCTCCTCTCCCTCCAGGTCGGTCCCATCAGCATGCTGGCCATTGGGGTCCTCACAGTGCACTGCATGGTCATCCTGCTGAACTGTTCTCAGCACCTCAGTCAGAAGTGAGAGTCCTGCTTCTCTCTCATCCCAGCACTGGGGCCCCCTCCAAGAGTGTGTTCAGTTTCTTTTGACCATTGACCCAAGTAACTTGGCCATTTCTCCAGGCCACCACCCTGCCACTCTGGATTCTATGGAGGTGTTGGAGGGGGTGAGAAAGAATCCAAATTGGAGAGTCCAGGCGCAAATCCAGCTCTGCTGCTAACAAGCAGAATGACTGTATCAAGTCCTTGCACCCCTTTGAGCCTAAATCTTCTTACCTGGAAGCATCAAAGTGATAAAAGATAAAAGTACTCTGTAGGCCTGGGGTGGTGGCTCACGCCTGTAATCCTAGCACTCTGAGTGCTTGAGCTCAGGAGTTGGAGACCAGCCTGAGCAAGAGTGAGACCCCATCTCTACCTAAAATAGAAAAATTAACTGGGTGTCATGGTGCATGCCTGTAGTCCCAGCTACTCGGGAGGCTGAGGCGGGAGGATTGCTTGAGCCCAGGAGTTTAAGGCTATAATGACACTACTGCACTCTACCAGGGGTGACAGAGCAAGATTCTGTCTTAAAACAAAAAACCAAAAAGTGCTATGTAAACTATCATATATATGTGTAAGATAGTTAGAGATACCCTTTTTTTCCTTTTAATCTCCCCACCCTTAACCTCCCCCAGCCCAATACAGACCCCTTGTCGGGGTAATTTGTTCCAAGCAAAAACTCCTTTTGGAAAAATTTAGTAAAAGTAAAAAACATACTTTGCAATAAAATGAAACGTTTACAATGACTTCGGTCATTAACGAAGCACATGTAATACTCAATGTTTATGTATTTGAAACTTTAACTCAAAAACAACTTTAGAAAGAAAACACAAATGCAACGAAGACAAAGAATGCTGATGAAGAAAGTCCTCGAAAATCAAAATAGGGATAGTAAATGAAACTCTTCCTGAAGCCAAATTATCATGATTCAAATAGGTGTAGCTGGAGTATGCATCAGTCACACCTAACTTTCGGAGCACTTTCCAGCTCAGGAAACACTTTTAAGGGCATTTCCTCACGCAGCAGTTAAATGTATTGTGCCATGACGCTGTGCCAGGTCACCTCGCCAAGAGCTTTGCAAGCCTTCTTTACTCGTTATGGTAATTATCCCTTGATGGTTGTTGTCATTTTTAGTCCCATTTTACAGGACTGAGGCTTAAGTGCCTTGCCCAGGGTCACACAGCTATGAAGTGGCACAGCCGGTATTCAAAGACCTGTCTGACTCCACTCCTAAGCATTTTGCAAAGCTTCTCTTCCCTGCTGGGAGCATTATCTCACCACCCACATAGGCGTCTGACCGACGGATGTCTGGCCATTCCTGACAGCCCTTCTCTGATTTTTTTCTGATGACTTGTCTTTCATTTTTTTCCTAATGCACAGGTTTCAGGGTGATGCCTAAGAGCTAGCTATGGCCTTCAGTTATGTTTTAGGTGACTTTCACAGTTTTGTTTTGTCTTGTTTTCTAGCCAACGTTTAAAAATCTGGAGATTTCACATTTAAAAAAAAAAAATAAACCTCTGCTTTCTCCTTTAGACAGTCTATTCCCCTGAGCCTTTATTTCTTTAATGTTCTTCTGGAGGCAAGTCCCAATCAACCCCTTTTAGAATGGGGTGTGTGCTCTGGTTTGCCATAGTCTCCACTACTCCCTACTGTGTCTTATGCCCACTCCCTGTCGCCCACCGGGTCACCTAGGCTGATCCCATAGCTTTTGAATTTGCAACCCTCCGGCTAATATACTTGACAGTCCTATGCAAGGTGACCTCACTTGTATTGCACATGCCTACAGCGGTAAACAGTAATAAAAATGCCACACTCCCCATACATCTCCACATCTATCTCTCACTGCCTCCTCCCCCAAACCCAGATTGTATGTGAAAAACTGAGGCCCAGAAATCTAAAGAGACTTACTAGCTGGAGACTTACTCCAGCTAGCTGAGGAGCATCATGAAATTGAAACTGTTGTAAACCAGCGGACCAAGGGGATTCGGACACCAGAACCCAATCAGCCAAATTAGTTTATTGATACCTGTGCAGGGGCTGTCACCACTCCACGCAAGGAGGGAGAAGCAGCCCCGAACAAAGCTTTTGCGGTGTTTTTTATACCCCTGGGGGCTGGCAGCTATGCAAGCAAGCAATCCCAGAAGCAGAACTTTGCGGCCGTTAGTTAAGTGGACAATGGAAATGTATACACTAAGGGACAAGGGACTTTCCTGGAACAGGACCTCTCTATCCTTTTTTGAGAACAGTCCTCCTCAACTCCCTCCTCCCTCTTCTGAGAACTTTTTACATGTCCAGGACCTTTTACTAATAGTTAGAGCAAGACTGACTCCATTTGAGATCTACAGGAGCCATCTTTAGTCTATCTGCTTACTTCAAAACCCTGGTATCCTAACAAGTCTGGGCCCTTTCTCTCCTTCCACTGCTCACCTCACGCCAGCAATTAACAAGGTGCATTTAGGACCTCGGCAACATGCTGCTACTCCCACTTGCTCCTGCCAAAGATGGTTGGTCCTACAGCAATGGCCTGCCCCACCCTTGGAAAAGGTCACCTAGGAAGAAGGACAAGGGAAGAGAGGGACAGCCTGGAACTTGGGGTCACATCCTATAAGGGTCCTGGGCAGGAGCCTGAGTACCATCTGTGCATAGGATCTGGTCCGGGACAGACATCTCAAATGTTCTGATACTCCGAATGTTCTGATACTCCCAATGGGAAGGAGGAAATGTAAATCCAGAAGAGATAAAAATCACTGGCTTGGCCACACCCACAATGCCCCTTCCTCCCCACACCTCCTCCCATCACCCTATCTCCTCTTTCCTGCTTTGCAGACCTAAATCAATGCACAGCTACTATTTAATCAAAAAGAATAAGTCCAATGACATCCACTTAACTATATATGCTTAAAAAGATACCTGCAAGAAAAGAAAAAAAGGCAAACTCTTGAAAGTTGTTAAAATATAAAATATACCATTGTTAGAAAACTAACAGAACCCTCCATACTAACATACAAATATACAAGAATCACTTACTCTGGGAGTCAATTGTACCTTTAACAAAAATGTTTTAAGTGACACATTGTTTGTCCTTTCCACCTAGACTGCAAAAGACTTTTGTGAACTATGGCGAGGCCACGATGTACAGCCTTGAAGCCAGCACCAACACCTGGCTGAGGACGCACTCCGTGTGGGGGAGGTAGTAGAACAATAGCAATCGTAATCCTCGCCAGCTCTTCCTTTATTTCTAGTTACACAGGTTTGAAATGAGTATGTTCTTATTGTAAACTATCAAGCACAACATAGAGACCCCTCCCAGTAGCCCATCCTAAGAGCTGGCTCACACTTTATAATCACTGATGTCTAGTTAGTAATTATTCCTCTAGATGTTTCTTCTCTACATGTATATCAGTATATGTATGTGCATGGAAGTATATAATTCCTTTAGATTGTCTTGTACATTACTTGGAATAATATTTGGAAATTTGCTTTTTCATTTGACCATATAATATGTCCCTAATTTTTTTCCACATTGGGACATATACACCTTCTAGATTATTTTTTAAGGCTCACAATGTTCCCTAGTGTGGATGGATGTTAATAACCACAGTTTTTTTGTTTTTGTTTTTGTTTTTTTTTTTTTTTGAGAGAGAGTCTCGCTTTGTTGCCTAGGCTAGAGTGAGTGCCGTGGCGTCAGCCTAGTTCACAGCAACCTCAAACTCCTGGGCTCAAGCGATCCTTCTGTCTCAGCCTCCCATGTAGCTGGGACTACAGGCATGAGCCACCATGCCCGGCTAATTTTTTCTCTATATATTAGTTGGCCAATTAGTTTCTTTCTATTTATAGTAGAGACGGGGTCTCGCTCTTGCTCAGGCTGGTTTCGAACTCCCGACCTCGAGCAATCCGCCCGCCTCGGCCTCCCAGAGAGCTAGGATTACAGGCGTGAGGCACCGCGCCCGGCCAATAACCACAGTTTTATTTGATTATTCCCCTGGTGGTGAACATTCAGGTTGTTATCTTGCTCGATAAAAAGTTAATGGTGTCCAAAACGGTTTTCTCTGTCGTAGCTTCTCAGATCATCTCAACAACCTTGGGAGGTAGGCAAGATGGGTTTTTATTGTCCCTGGAAATATGGGGTGGCCCAAAGGCATAGACGTTGATAGTGGTGGAGCAGAGCTTTGACCAAGAACCTAACTCTGCACCCTTACCCGGCAAAGTCTCTCAGGAGGTAGTGAGTCCCTCTTATGGCAGCTAAGAGGGATTTCTGTAGCTCCTCTCTTGGGATGGGTTCTCAGTAAGTAGGTCATTGACCTCTGATCAGGAGCCACTCTAACGGTCAAACAGGTGACATCATGTGACAGTAATAATGAATGCCTTACAATAATGGATGGCTAACCAATTTCCAATGACACCCTGAATAAATATTTAATGGGCCCTTACAGATCACTATATTCATGCCTGTTCAGATGGAAAAAAATGAAACTCAGAGAGGGCAATAAAGTTGTTCAGGATCACACAGGAATTTAGAGGTAGAGCAAAGACTGGCACCTAGCATCTAGCCCCTGCCATGACATTGTACCATTTCTCCAGAGGTTCAGAGACTGAGAAAGAATTGGAAACATTTTATTTAAACTAATGATTTGTCATTTTTAATGTACTAAGAGATACCTAGGGAGCTTGTTTAAAAACTGCCCATTCCATGTAGGCAATAATCATTAAAGAATGCTCAAGATGTTAGGTGAAAGGTCATTGGGAAACTTTATAAAAGAAGAAGGTACTGGTACCACCTGACCTCATGTACTCATCTTGGAATCTCATGTTTAGACATGGGACAGCCACGCATGGTGTGTCTCATAGTGGGATCAGAGCACCACCTCTGAAACACTCTTGCCAGAAAATAAAGAACCTCCACCTAATCAAGCCACTAGATCTAGTATTTGTTTACAGAAAAGACAGCAGATAGAGAACTAAGATAAATGATGTCAGGAGAAAGTCATCAACCAAATCTAAAAAATAGGATATACTATGGGACAAATGGGCTGGTATCTTTAGTAACACCAAAAAATAAAAAGTTGCAAGGAGAAAAAAAAACAGGGCAAGGGGGAATATAGCAGTTTTAAAAATTTTAGAGACTTAACAAAATGAAATATATAGACTTGTTTGGAAGCCAACTGTAAGATAGATATTTTGGAGACCAATTTGAGAAATCTGAATATTAGATGATATAAATAAATAATTGTTAATTCGATAAGAGATAATAATGGTATGATGATTATACTTTTTAAATTCTTATCCATTAGAGCTGCATACTGAGTTATTTATAGGGGAAATGATTTGAGGTCTTTGGTTTGCTACAAATACTCTGACAAATAAAGTATATATATATATGGTAGAGATGAAGAGGTAGATAGGAGATTGGCAAAAAGTTAATAACTGTTGAAACTGGAGATTCATTCAATTATTCTTATTGCTTGTGTATATATTTGAAAATTTCCATAATAAAGGCAGGAAAAAAAAAACATCGCTCTGGGGTTTCACGTGATATGCCAAGATTCTGACACAATAGGCTGATATAAGAACCAGGAGTCTGCATTTTTTAATATAACATCTCAAACAACAAATTGGATGGTATTACAACCCAATTTAGAAAACACTGATCTAAACATTAGAATCTAAGTAAAGGAGTATATTTCTGTTCCCTTAAAAAATAAATGCATCTCCAAATTTGGAACATGAAAAATCCAGAAGAATAATGACAATAGCAGAGTATAAGGTATTAAATTTTAAAAATAATTATTGATTCTATCGTGGTACCAAAAGAAAGAGAAGACAATATCTCTCTTAAATGCCAGATAATAAATTTAGAAGACATGACAGATATAATTAGAAAATCACTACCTTGCAACCACTGATGAAATAATTTATTCAGGCAATGAATGTTAAAACCATTGGTTTGAGACAAATGGGATACTCGTGCCATCTTAAAGTTTTACCCCACAGATTACAAAAGGAAAATGTACATTTACAATGGAGAGAACTGGTAGTCATCGCTGTAGTAGAACAGCAAGACCTCATGTGTCTCCCCATATGATGAAATAGAGGTGCAAAATATCACTTCCTAGTGAATTTCATCATGAGGAAGCAATCATGCAAGTCCACAATGTGGGGCATTCTATAAGACAATTGGCTTGGACTCTTCAAAAAAAGCCAATGTCATGAAAAACACAAAAAGATAGATATATATGGGGCTGTTCTATGTACAAAAAAAAGAAAAGACTAAAAAGATATAGCCAAATGCAATATACAAAACTTTATTACATCCTGAATCAAACAAACAAAAAAAAAAAGCAGCTACAAAAGATATTTTGGAGCAAGTTGGGGTAGTACTATGCCACTTTATGTAAGAAACTTGAACATCCACAGGTTTTAGTATCCACAGAGGGGTGGGGAGGTCCTAGAACCAATCTCCTGCAAATAACAAAGGGTGAGTATTTATTAATAAAATAGGGACTGTATATTTGAGGATATTAATGTTGATTTTCTGGCTATCATAGTCTTAAGAGAGATACACTGAGGTATTTAGGGTCGAAATGTTATGATATCTGCAATTGACTTGCAAATGATTCTGAAAAATAAATGTGGGGGGGGCTGGTTGGATGAACACATACATACAAACATATTTACATAATGCACTTTGGGGCCAAAAATTAAGAATTGATATATTTAGTTAAAGAGTATATGGTTGTTAATTATGCTATTTTTTTCTACTTTTTCTATAGGCTTTAAAATGTTCAAAATAAGAAAAATGTGGGGAAAAATAAAAATTTGCATCAACAGAAATAATTGTTTAAAAAAATAAGCACATTCTAAAAAATAATTGTAATGTTTGTTTTACCTCTTCTTTTCCTTCCCAGGTACACCGTCAGCTTCTTATTAATCATCACCCAACTGGGCTTCTGCAGTGTTTATTTTATGTTTATGGCAGATAATTTACAACAGGTAAAGAGGCCTCTCCTGGGCAGAGTGGGAGAAAGGCAGACCTCCTCCTCCTAGGGCTACATTAGCAAAAGTATAGTGTTCAGGTCATGGGAGGAGACAGCTTCATTTCTACTCCTGGATGAGACCACACTTGGAAGTTCTCTCAGTCCCAGGAATCTCATTTTTAAAAGATCATTGAGGAGCCAAAGTAATTTCTGAAAAATGTAACCAGGGTAAAGAGAGAGGCTTATAATCATGAACAATCAGAAATAATTGAGAATTTTTAGCCTGGAATGCATTGGTGACATTTACTTTAAGTTTCTCAAGAGGATCATGTAGAAGATGCCTAACTAAATATACAGGCAAGCAACCTGCACCCTCCCCTCACTGCATTCCCAATAGACATTACAAATCAATCACAGCATTCTGTCTTGTGGAATAGAGGAGCATACTTCTTTCCGTGCACCCAAATAGCCAGAAAGAACTATGACAGGTATTGCAGATAGAATATTCAAGCAGATGGAATTTTTGTCCAAATTACAGACCTTTATTTTATTTTTTTAGCTTTTTATGTTGATAATAGTTGTACATATTTATGGTGATATTTTGATACATGTTATACAATGCGTAATGATCAAATCAATGTAATTGGGATATCTATCACCTTGAACATTTACCACTTCTTTGTGCTGGAAACATCCCAAATCTTCTTTTCTAGCTATTTTGAAATATACAATAAATTGTTGTTAACTACAGTTGCCCTACTGTGGCTGTCAAACACCACAACTTATTCCTTCTATCTAACTGTATTTTTCTACCCATTAACCAACCTCTCTGGGATAAAGAAAATGTGGTATATATATAAAATGTAATATTGTTCAGCCATAAAAAAAGAAAGAAATCTTGTCATTTGCAGCAATGTGGATGGAACTGGAGGACATTACATTAAGTGAAAGAAGTCAGGAACAGAAAGACAGACATGGCATAGTCTCACATGTGGAAGCTAAAAAAAATTGATCTCATGGAGGTAGTGAGTAGAATCAAGTACTGTGTTTCCCCCAAAATAAAACTTACCCATAAAATAAGCCCTGGCAGGATTTTTAAGCATTTGCACAATATAAGCCCTACCCCGAAAATAAGACCTAGTGATGGGCGTGGCTACGCAGCGTATCTGCACAACCCACGCATTTTGTTGAAGAGCGGTAAAAAAGACGAGCAGCCCTTCTCATCTGCCCCATGAGAGCTCGATTGCTCGACATGAGAGATTGGGGCCAATGGTTCTAAAGGAAATAGAGTCGCAAGAAATTCAGGATGGAATTCGGGGTTTGGAGAGTTATGATGATGTTCCAGAAGAAGACAGCTTAACTATATTTGAATAAATGTAGATTGTTGTACCGTAGTTAAAAAAAATAATACATCCCCTGAAAATAAGCCCTAGGGTGTCTTCTTGAGGAAAACATAAATATAAGACCCCGTCTTATGTTCAGGTAAACACGGTAGATAGATTTTGTTCAATACGTAGAGCTTTCCAACTTTTAGGACTATTTAAAGTTAAAGAGGATATTCTTGTGTAATAAATTCCCTTTCTCTGGACGTACAAAAGAAAAATTTGGTGGGAAGAAGAGGTTGGGCTAAATGACAAAAGGATCCTTCAACCTTGGGACTTTACGATGCTAAGGGTTTCTGGTTGTCACAGTCATGGGCGTTACAGTTAGGGTTGCCAAATTTGGCAAATAAAAATAGGTGACACCCAGTTAAAGTTGAATTTCAGATAGGTAGTGAATAATATTTTTTTAAACTGTATGTCCTATGCAATGCTGGGGACATATTGATACTAAGAAGTTATGTCAACTATCTGAACTTCAAATATGACTGGTGTCCTGTGTTTTATCTGGCCACCCTAACTACACCACCTTTCATTATGCCGCACGTCAGATGGTGGAAGAAGCCCACGTGACCACCAACAACTGCCAACCCAGGAAGAGCCTGTTGCTGACTCCCATCCTGGACATTCGTGTCTACATGCTGACAATCCTGCCCTTCCTGGTCCTGTTGGTGTTCATCCAGAACCTCAAGGTGCTGGCCTTCTTCTCGACACTGGCCAACATCACCACCCTGGGGAGCATGGCTCTCATCTTTGAGTACATCATACAGGTCTGTGCCTGAAACCACGGCAGAAGGGGGTCGGGGTCCTGGGTCTCGGAGACACCTGGGAGGGTTGTTAGCAGCATGGGCAGGTGAGGGTGAAGAAGGGAATCCCCTGCTCTGAGCAGCCCCTGCCAATATGACATCTAGGAACACTTCTGCCCCACAAGCTATAAAAACTAATCATCACCCATCATCAACATCCTCCCCTTCATCATCGTCATCACATTGGATAACAACGAGTCATTCAACCCATAGTTACTAAATACCTTCTGTGAGCCAGGCATTGTGCAAAGGGCTGGGGACCCCATGATAAGGAAAAACAGATGGGGTATCTGCTCTCGCGGAGGTTGCATTCGCTTGGGGAGATACGCATTGCTCGCATAGCCAACAAAAATTGTGAAAGTGGCAGGTGGGCAAGGAAACATGGATGATAAAGGAGTTTTATTCACTTGATGCCAAGTTCTTCACGTTTTTATTAGCTCATCGAATCTTTACAATAATACTATTTTGGAAGTAAAGTCAGCCCTCTGTATCTGTGGGTTCCACATTAGTGGATGCAACCGAATTCGGATAGAAAATACCAAAAAATAAAAATAATGCAACAACAAAAAATAATACAAATTAAAAAATAATACGGTATAGCAAGTGTTTGCATAGCATTCGCATTGGTATTAGGTATTATAAGTAGTCTAGAGATGATTTAAAGTGTATAGGACGGTGTGCAGAGGTTACATGCAAACACGACACCTTTCCGCATCAGGGACTCGAGCATCCGCAGATCTTGGTATCTGAGGGAGGTCCTGGAACCAGTCCCCTGTGGATACCAAGGAACCATGGTACTGTCTTTATATCAGTTTATAGATAAGGGAATTGATAAACAAAGTAACTTTTTCACTAATTTCAGTCAGTTTGCCTCCCAAGCCCATGCAATACTCTCATCGCAGGCCTTGACATTCCACCATTTACCGTTTCATTTCTTTGAGTCTGAAAGTCTTTGGAGTTGTGTTAGTTTCTTATTGCTGCTGTAACAAATTTCCAGGAATCTCATGGCTTATAACCACACAAACTTACTTTACAGTTCTAGAGGAGTCCCTGGGCTGAAATCAAGGTGTTGGCCTGGCCGCATCCTTTCTGGAGGTGTTAGGAGAGACTCTGTTTTCCCGTCTTCCGGAGGCTCCCTGCGTACCTTGGCCTGGGGCTCCTTCCAGGTTCACAGATAGCGACGTCAGGCTGAGCCTCTCATGCTGCTGTCCCTCTGATCTTCCTTGCAATTCCTCCTTCCACCTTGCAGGACCCTGTCCCACCCAGACAGTCCAGGATGCTCTCTTTATTTTAGGGTCAGGCGATTAGCAACCTTGATTCAGTCTGAAAACTTAGTGCTCCCTTGCCTTATGTAACATAAGATATCCACAGGTTCTAGTGGTTAGGATGTGAACGTCTCTGGGAAGCCATTATTCTACCCAGCACCGAAGTCTGTTAAAATAATCATTCTCCTCGGTCCCTGATAGCTGCCGTACCAGCTGGTGGACTGCACAGCCCTGAAAGAGCGATGGGAAGGAGATGTTAGAGGACCAAGAAATGGGACACTTGAATGCTTGTCTGGGCTGTGCCACCAACTTGCAGCCTGGCCTTGGGCAACTCCCTTCTTCCTGCTATGTCCCACTCTCTCCACATAGGAAGATGGGCGGGCTCCCAACAGCCAAAATGTGGAAACAGCTCAACTCTGCATCCACTGATAAATGGATGAACAAACTTTGATATATGTATTTTACATACACACACACACAATGGGATATTAGTCAGCCTTAGAAAAGGAAGAAATCTCTGACACGTGCTACCACATCAACAAACCTTAAAGACATTAAGCCAAGTGAAATAAGCCCGACACAAAAAGGTAACTGTTGTACGATTCCAGTTACATGAGATGCCCAGAATAGTCAAGTTCATAGAGACAGAAAGTAGAATCTAAGGAGTTACCAAAAGACTGGGTATCAATATTTCATAGGTACAGAGTTTCAGTTTAGCGTGACAAAACAGTTCTGGAGACAGGTAATGGTGACAGGTACATAAACAAAAGTGAATGTACCTAACACCGATGAATTGTACGCTTAAAAATGTTGTTAAAATGGTAAAAAATGGTAGTAAGTTGTATGTTACGTATATTTTGCCGTAATAAAAATCAGGCCAGGCGTGGTGGCTCACGCCTGTAATCCTAGCTCTCTGGGAGGCCGAGGCAGGTGGATTGCTTGAGGTCAGGAGTTCGAAACCAGCCTGAGCAAGAGTGAGACCCCGTTTCTACTATATAAAAAATAGAAAGAAATTAATTGGCTAACTAATATATATAGAAAAAAATTAGCTGGGCATGGTGGCACATGCCTGTAGTCCCAGCTACTCGGGAAGCTGAGGCAGCAGGATTGCTTGAGCCCAGGAGTTTGAGGTTGCTGTGAGCTAGGCTGACGCCATGGCACTCACCCTAGCCTGGGCAACAAAGTAAGACTATGTCTCAAAATAAATAAATAAATAAAAATAAATCAATAACCACTTTTAAAAAACGAGAAGGCTGACTGAGCTCTAGCTATGTTAATGGGTGCTCCCGACTCGGATTCTTCTCTGTGGAGGTCAGGCCTGGCCCAGCTTTCCACCAGGCATGGACCTGGGGCCAGAGCCAATGCCCCCGTCCCGCTGTGTTTCAGAGGATCCCGTACCCCAGCGACCTGCCCCTGATGGCGAACTGGAAGACCTTCTTGCTGTTCTTTGGCACGGCCATCTTCACGTTTGAAGGCGTCGGGATGGTAAGACCCCCGGGGTCCGAGCAAACAGGCCCCAGTGGTCTGCAGAGTGGCCGATTTGAGCTCCCGACTTCTAAATAAATAGTATTTATGCAAAGTGCGGAAGATGATCCTCTCCTGGCGGAGGGGAAGTCAGAGCCCGCACGCAGGTGCCTGCTGCTCCATGCCCCACGCTAAGCCTCGAGACCCACTGAGGATCCACCAGTCCACCCAGGTGGAGCAGGGCGTCCCTGGAAATAGCCCACGAGAGAGGGAACGAAAGGGAGCGCGGTCCTGCCGAGAGGCCCCTTCCCGCCCCTGGGCCAGTGTGCTTGTAGGGGGACCCTGCTCCCTCACAAGGGGCCATATCTCTTTCCACCTCGTCCCCAAACTCTTCCCCTCCACCCCCAAACTCTTTTCACCCCCAGGTTCTGCCTCTCAAAAACCAGATGAAGGACCCACAGCAGTTTTCGTTTGTTCTGTACTTGGGGATGTCCCTTGTCATCAGCCTCTATATCTGCCTGGGGACACTGGGCTACATGAAGTTCGGGTCGGACACCCAGGCCAGCATCACCCTCAACTTGCCCAATTGCTGGTACGTCCCTGCCCTCCTCGGCTGGGGGTGGGGAGAGGCACGGGAGCAGAGCCTGAGCCGCAGAGTGGGGCGTTCCCTTGGGTTATCGTTACCAATAAATATTTACTGTTAATGTTAGCATTCATTATCGTAACAGGTAAGTTTGATAATCCAGGCACTGTGTACTACCTCATTTAATTCTTACAGTAGCCCTATGCGTTAGCATTATTATTACCAACCCCAGTGAATAAATGAATAAGTCGATGTTTAGAGAGGCTGCAAGTCACTTTCCCAGCTCGCATTGTTTGTAAGAAGCTGAAACTTGAATCCAATCTGTCTGGCTTTAAAGTGCCAAGGCCCGGCCGGGCGTGGTGGCTCACGCCTGTAGTCCTAGCTCTCTGGGAGGCCGAGGCGGGCGGATTGCTCGAGTTCAGGAGTTCGAAACCAGCCTGAGCAAGAGCGAGACCCCGTCTCTACTATAAATGGAAAGAAATTAATTGGCCAACTAAAAATATATACAAAAAATTAGCCGGGCATGGTGGCGCATGCCTGTAGTCCCAGCTACTCGGGAGGCTGAGGCAGGAGGATCGCTTGAGCCCAGGAGTCTGAGGTTGCTGTGAGCTAGGCTGACGCCACGGCACTCACTCTAGCCTGGGCAACAAAGCAAGACTCTGTCTCAAAAAAAAAAAAAAGTGCCAAGGCCCTAAAAACAAAAACAGGAATGATCTGGGAATGTTTTAGAAACAGAAACAGCCATAACAAAACTTATAAGTGCAAAGTAAGGACTGAAGTCCCCCAGATGGACTACTGCTCAGCTCCCAATTCCAGAAATGCACCTAGGCCATCATTGCTGTGCCCCCACTAGAACTTGGTCTGCAATCCTTGTATTCAATCATTCATTCACTTATTCATTCATCCAGGAAACACAGTGCATTCATCACGTGTTACTTACTGTCATTGTTATGGCGATATTGGGTACATAGTGACTAAGCGCCGAGAATTTGAGGGCGAAGGTTCTAAAGCTAACTAATGGGATTTGCACCCTGGTTCTTATGTGACCTTGGGCAAGCTATCTAATGTTGTAGGCCCCATGTCCACCCTCATCCGTACGATGAGGATAATACTAATGCCCGTGTGTATCAGGACAGACGAGGTTATGCTCCATTGATTGATAACTCCAAAATCTCAGTGGCTGAACATGCAAACGCTTAATACAGAATCTCAGTGGCTGAACATGCAAATGCATAATCCTGTGCTCGTGCTACATGCCCATGATAGGGTGGCTAGGGGTGGCGCTACCCACCATCCCCACTCCAGGGCCCAGCCCCTCTCTAAAGCGTTACCAGCTGCCAGGGCAGCGGGCACCGTGAGCCATGCCTTTTCCCGTGAAGCTGGCAAAGCCCCCTTGGACGTGACAGACATCCCTCCCGTTCACACTTCATCGGGCAAAGCAAGTCACGTGGCCACACCTCACTCCGAGGGGGCAGGGAAGCACAATGCCACCACGTGCCTGGAAGTATTTGGTGGGCAGCACAAATGACTGCCACGCTACCTCATGAAGTGACTGTGAGGATTAATGGGTTTAACTGACAGAACAGGCTTGGGAAAGTGCGTGGCACATGCTAGGCACTCACTGAGTGTTAGCCATCATCACTGGTACGTGTCCGCACAGCCTTCGTCTTTCTGAGGTGAGTAGGATGCTAGGGCATTCATTTCCCACAAAGCCAGAACTGTAGAATGAGAAAAATGTCACCAGCCCCACCCACGTCACTGCGTTGGGCAATGACTAGATGAGATCATAAACCTGACATTCCTTTGAAGTTGTAAGATATCATCCGAATATGTTGCTCTCATTCTGGGCAATTCGGGCTGCCTCTGGCAACGTGGGGCAGGGCACTTTCCTTCCTGGGACCTCAGCTAGAAAATGAGGCCATTGAACTCTATCAGGACTTCACACCTCTTGGTATGAACCTGGCTGGTCATCAGATTCTTCAGGGGAGCCTTAAACAAATATCTCTTCCCAATAAGAAAAAGGCCAACAACCCAAGAAGAAACGGCCCCCAAGCATGAGCAAACAGTTCACAGGCAAACAAAAAAGTGGACGGCCAGATGGCCAGATAGAAAGATGCTTGAAAAAATAATAGAACTGCCAGTTTAAAAGATCCAGTGGCAAAGACCAGCATGCCCTTGCACACTGTTTGGCAAGGATGTGGGGAAGCAGGTCCTTTCATATGCTAGGACAACAAATGGGCAATAAGTCCGTAGCTGTCGAAATTCGAAATCACATAGACTTTTACCCAACATTTTTACTTCTGAGGTTGTATACCATTTTTGCATAGATATATGTACAAGGGTGTTCTTTGTAGCATTGTTTACTTGGGAACAAAGACTAGGCATAATCTAAATATCCATTAATTGGTGATCAATTTAAAAAGTTACAGTATATCTATGCCATTGGAATATCAAGCAGCTATGAAATAGAAGATCCAGATCTGTGTACACTGGTAGGGGACAATCTTCAAGAAATATTGGATGAAGGGGAAAAAAAGGAGTTCAACAGTGTATAGAGGAATGATGCAATGCATGTGCGTATGCACGTGTGTGTGAGTGTTCACGTGTGTGTGCACGTGTGGACTCCTGTATAGATTAAGCTTGTACTTACACAGATTATTTCTGGAAGGGCCACAGGAAAGCTCTGAGTGATTGCCTATGGAAAGGGGAGCTGGAGACTAGGGATTAAGGTGGGAAGGGTGCTTTTCACTGCATGACTTTTGTACTGCAAATTTGACTCTCTGCAGATTTTACTTTTTTAAAATATTAAAAGAAAAGAAAGCCATAGATTCCTGGGCCATTCTGGGCCTACTGACTCAGAATCTCCAGGAATGTGTACTTTTAATAATAAGCTGCCCAGGTAGCCCTGGTGGCCAGTCTGGCCTGAGTCATTGGACAGTAGCCAACTCTATAACTCAGTGACAAGTACAGGTTGAGTATTCCTTATCTGAAATACTTGGGACCAGATGTGCTTCAGATTTCGGATGGTTTCAGATTTTGGAATCTTTGCATTATATTTACTGATTCACACCCCTAATCTGAATATCTGAATCTGAAATGCTCCAGTGAGTATTTTTCTTTTTGTGTCATGTCAGCACTGAAAAAGTTTAAGATTTTAGAGTATTTCTGGTTTGGGATTTTCAGACTAGGGATTCTCCACCTGTACCAGCTTCTGAGCAATGAGCGAATCCTGAATGGCTCTTCTGGGGGCCCACGTGACCTTTCACATCCCCATCCATCTGTCTGCAGGTTGTACCAGTCTGTCAAGCTGATGTACTCCATCGGCATCTTCTTCACCTATGCCCTCCAGTTCCACGTCCCGGCCGAGATCATCATCCCATTCGCCATCTCCCAGGTGTCAGAGAACTGGGCACTGTTTGTAGACCTGTCTGTCCGCACAGGCTTGGTCTGTCTGACCTGTGAGTAGGATAAAAGGGCACTCTTTGCCCAAAGCCATGACAGGGAATCACACTGGTGCCCACCCCGCCATCATTGGTTCAGCCACTAGCCTTCCTTGTGGCCTAGGGCAAGATACTTCATCTCCCTGGACCTCGATTTTTCCACCTGAAATGAGGCTTAACAGAACTACCACAGAGTAATGTCGCAGTAATCTCTACTGTCTACACATAGAAAGTATACACTGGCTGGTTTATGGGACAAAGAACTATCGTTCATTTAATCACCTTTCTGTATGCCTCCTCTATGGCAAGCACTGTACTGACATTATCTAATCATCTAATACTCATGACTGCCATGACTGCCTAGCAATGTAATATTACCAACTGAGGGAACTGTGGCCCAGAGACATTAAGTAGCATGCCCAAGTCATACATGCTAAGTGACAGAGCTGGGATTTGCACATGGGTTGTGTCGCCTAGGGCTCCTTCAGAGAACTAAAAGCAGTGGACAGTGACGAGAGAGGCGGTCAGAGCATTTGGCAGAGCCCAAGTCCCAAGGGGCCCTGTGACGAGGAGTCTGGGCAGTGGGGAGCAACGGAAGAGCTCTGAGCAGTGGGGTGGCATGACCAGCACTGAGCCTCTTAGAGCGCTCCTCCAGCCCGCCTTGCACTAGAGCTTTCCTTGAATGTATCTTCTCTGTCCCCTCAGTGTGAGCTCTCCTGGAGGACAGGTGCTGGTTTCTGTCTGTAAGCAGCTTGCTAAGCACCTGGTGAAGGAGAGCTGTGCACAGGAGCCACCCCACCAGAGGGGCGGTGGACTCCCAGCCGTGACAGTTCATGAGCCTCTCTCACTCTCTCACTGTACATGTCAGAGCAATTTCACAAAGAGGTGATGTTTTCTTAAAGATCCAGTGAGCTTGTACAGATGCTCTCCAGAACAGGCTTTCTGAATTTTGTTCCTAGAAAGATCAGATGATTGAAATGTTTAAGGTGATAGATATCCCAAGTACACTGAGATTTACACATTATAAGAATAAATTATTACATAGACCCCAAAACTATGTGTATCTATTATGCATCAATAAAAAATTGCATACAGTTTAAAAAAGCATATAGTTAAGTTCTGATGGAGGGCTGGGGAAAAAAAGCATATGGTTGCATAAAATTAAATCATATGATAAATTGCATATTTACTCATTCATACATTTTTGAAATTGGACTCCTTTGGAAAATGTGACACTAAATGTTCATTCTATGTATGACAGATGGAAATCTAAGAGTGTTTATAGAAGAGCAGGGCTGTGGGATGGGCAGCCTAGTGCTTTCTTTGGGTTTTACATCAAGCTTAACTATCAAGGTCCTTTTAAGAGTAGATATTCTGCAGAAGTATGTTCTGTAAAAGAAAAAAAAAATAAAAAATAAAAAATAAAAAAAAAAAAAAGAGTAGATAAATAAGTAGTTGACATTTGGACAGCAACAGAGGCATCTCCCGTTTTTTATTCATCCTTGCTTCTAACAGAGGTTATGTTATGTATATAGTACAAAGATTGATTCAGCATCTAGATGAGAGTCAAGCACTTACTGGGCACCTACAGTGTGCCACGTTCTTCCCTATACATGAGAGGCAGCATAGTAGAGTGGAAAGGACATTAGATGGAGCACCCCAGTGGGTTCTCATCTCCGCCCTATGTGAATTTGAGTAGGTCCTATTTCCTCTAGAGCTTGAAATTTCCCCATATCTACGGTGAGGAGGTTATAACAGGTAAGTGGTAGAGGAGCCCTTTCAATAAAGATTATATGTGAAAAATTCAATATACAAAATAGAAAAAGACGGCATCAGTGTTGGTGGTTAAAAACAGGGGTGGGAGTCCAGCGCTGCATTGCCTGGTGTACTGCTCGAGCCTGCTCAAGACTGTTCAAGCAGTATCTCAGGCAGCTGTGGAATTCTAGGGCTCCAAAACAATGGTTTATTTCTGAGCTCCCTTTGTTCAGCGACGTTCAGTAATTGTAAGTTTCTCCTCTTGCCGCAGGTGTCTCAGCCATCCTCATCCCCCGCCTGGACCTGGTCATCTCGCTGGTAGGCTCCGTGAGCAGCAGTGCCCTGGCCCTCATCATCCCGCCCCTCCTGGAGATCATCACCTTTTATTCTGAGGACATGAGCTGTGTCACCATTGCCAAGGACATCATGATCAGCATCATGGGCCTTTTGGGGTGTATATTTGGGACATACCAAGCCATCTATGATTTGACCCAGCCCGTCAACCTTTCCATGGCCAACTCCACAGGTGTCTATTCATAACTATCTATTTTTATTCTTATGGCTCTCCCTTCCTCCCACCCCCAATTTGACTTCCATGTGGATGTTGTGTACCTTCAGCAAACCCTCACATCTCTGTATTAACTAGTGGCGTCTTTTTATCTTTCCAAGAGGAGCATAGATAACCCAAGTTAGTACTGCTGCCTCTCAGCACTATCCCTCTTTCAGTTTTGGTTTTCTTTCCTTTTTTGTACCTTTGAACCAAATCATATTCAACCATTCGTATTATCAGCCTCAATTACTGGAAAAGGGATGTCATTCACCCCTACATCCCTGGAAACAGAGACCAAGCATAAATGCAAAAGAAATTGTTTTCTCTATACTGCAGTAGCTGCCCTTAAAGCATCAGATTTTGAAAAAGTTTATCTTACAGGAAGGGAGTTTCCTGTTTAGACATTCTAAGTGAGAGAATCGCAGGCAGAACGAAACCAGAACTTAGCAGTAATTTTGTCCAACTGCTTGGCTCTGCCGCTGATTTCCTATGGGACCTTTTGTAAATTCCTCCCCTCTCTCAGTCTTAGCTTCTTTGTCTGTAAGTGAAGGGTTGAGCTAATTGATTATTAAGGGCTCTGTCAACTCTGCCATTCTGAAAGTGAAAAAAAGAAGTTAATTTATTTTCCAACCACAAAGACTACCATGCTAGTGCTGGCAAGGATGTGGAGTAATTGAAATTCCATGTTCTGCCACTATGAATGGAAAATGGTGCAACAGTTTGTAGTTACTTTAAAAGTTAGACATATACCTACCATATGATCCAACTATTCCACTTCAAGATATTTAACTGAAAAAAGAAAATATATACCCATAAAAAGACTTGTACACAAATGTTCATGGTAACTTCATTTGTAATAGCAAAAAAAGTGGGAAACAAAATAAATGTCTCTCAGCAGGTGAATGGATAAATAAACTGTGGATATCCATACAATGGAATACTACTCAGCAATGAACATAATAAACAGCAATGCACACAATAAAATGGATAAATCTCAAAATAACTATGTCGAGTGACAGAATCCAGACAAAAAATAGTACAAACTATATGGAGTACAAACTATATGGAGATATAATCCAGAAAATTCAAACGAATCTGTAGTATCAGAAGATCAGTGGTTGCTTGAGGGTGAGAGGGAAATGTTACAAAGAGGCATGAGGAAACTTTTAGAAATGATGAATAATGTTTACTACCTTGCTTGTGGAGATGGATCAACAGGAGGGTACATATGTCCAAACTGATCAAATTGGACCTTTAAAATATGTGTAGTTTATTATATATCAATTATGCCTCAATAAAGCTGTTAAAAATAGAACCTGCACCAGGCATGGTGGCTCACATCTGTAATCCTAGTATTTGGGGAGGCCAAGGAGGGAAGATTGCTTGAGGTCAGGAGTTTGAGACCAGCTTGAGCAAGAGCCAGACCCCATCTCTGCCAAAATAGAAAAATTAACTGGGCATGGTGGCATGTGTCTATAGCCCCAGGTACTCAGGGGGCTGAGGCAGGAAGATCACTCAAGCCCGGGAGTTTGAGGTTGCAGTGAGCTATGATGACGCTGCTGTACTATAGCCCAGGTGACAGAGTGAGACTAAAAAAAAAAAAAAAATGTGAAGCATGATTCAATTTTCATTTTTTTAAAATTAATCACATGCATATAGTCAACTAATTTTGAAGAATATACAGAACATAAAATGTCATATGAATTTTCTCCAAATGGGTTGAATTGAGTGAAATGTTATGCTTTTTTTTTTTGCTTGCCTATATTATTGCATTTTTTAAATAATATATTGATTTTTATAACTAAAGAAACTTCATTTGAGGGGGAAATTATTAATGATGAGTTGTTTCACTGTAATGGAAATTTACTTTTTATAAACTTTTTATTGTGAACTATAACACCTATGAAAGGATGTAAAGCATTAATCTACAGTATGAGCAATATTTACAGAGAGCATCATCTTCTATTAGATTATCGATACTGTGGCTTGAATAAGAGGAATTGGCTGAAGGTAGCAGAGTTCCCCTCCTGTAATGTCACGCCTGTACCAATGGTCAGATGTCAAACAACCACCTCTCGGGGAGATGTGAAGCAGCTGTGGTGTCATGCGGGAGAGTGGAGAGGAGTGCCCTTTCACTAGTTAGGAAGCTATACGCCGATAACAAAGTCTTTGCTCTTTGGGGAGCCAGACCAGGAGCCTGGAGAAGCTGAGGCTTTGAGGAACCCATGGAAGCCTTACTATAGAACATGGGGCAATAAAATGGAGATAGGGCAGTGGCTTATGATTCTGGGTGGAGGGTGATCACACATCTCACTGCGATCCTAATAAAAGCTATGGCTCCTCCTTCCATGAAATTCAAATATGCATACATGCTAAGTTGTGTACACAGTTACAGGAACAATCACAAACCCAATGGAGTGACTAAACCCTGGGTTGCAAGAGAACCCCTGGAAAAAAGGAATGCAAGAATTTCTGATTCTCATAGCATTGAATGATCTGCAGATGGTAGGTAGCCAACCCAGGTACTATGGTTTGAATGCAGAACAGGGCAACGTGCAAAATCAGGCAAGGGAGGTAAGCTACCAGGTAAAGAAACTCAGGCCACCACGCAACTGGTACAAAAAACACTTTCTGATTGCAGTCAGCACTCTGAGATCACTGACAGAACTAAATTGGTCATTCTAGTTGTGACAACATAGGCTGAATTCTTGGCTGCCACGTGCTTCTTGGCAAAAACTGGGGCCTGGTAGTTGGAATAGAGATATTTGGGAGGATACAAAGAATGTGTCCTGACCCCCACGACCTTCAGAATCATTTCCTGTTGCACTTCTCTACTGGACCAGTGTGCTCTATCTCCCTATGATTGAGCCAGACAACGGTTGGGGCATAGGGGGAAATGATATGTGGAATCAATTTAAGAAGCTGAATTCTGATCTTCATCTTGGCCACTGAAAGAAAGAGAAAGGAATGGGAGCGTTGAGATTGCTAAGCAACACAAGCCCTGCATGTGGGTTGAGGGTAGGAGTCACCCATACCAGGCATTAATTGTTGGCTACCAAGTAGACATAAGTAACATAAGTGCAGTGGTTTATAAGCCGCAGTGTCCCCCGGGAATAAAACTGGCATGCAAGGCAACTCTCTAAGGATCTGTAGGATCTGTTATTGGATGTCCAGGCTGTGCCTGACTCAAACCCACACAGGGGCCCCTTTAAACAATTCCCCGATCTGAGTTCAAAAGTCAAAAACAAAAAGGCAGAACCTCTCCCTGCCATGCCAATGTCAAGTTGAAAGTGAAATGGCTCTGGGAATATGACCCTCTCAAAGGAAAATTCTCAGGTGGACTCAGATGTAGGAGGTTGGACGTGCTGGTCCGGGACACTCTGTGTGAGCTGGTCCCCACCCCCATCTCTCCGGCTTCTCTTTCCTGCCAATCATACCTTCTCCTTCTGGCCACACTGGCCTTTGTCCCGCTTCCTCAAAAGCACCAGGCTTCCTGTTGCTACAGGACCTCCTCCTGTGCTATTTCCTCCATTTGGAATGCTTTTGCCCTTTCTTCACCTACTCACTCCTCCTCAATTTTCAGACCTCATCTGTCACTTGCCCACTAACCCAGACTACGCAGTGCCCCACAAGCCTTTCTTTTGTAACACTTCATTTATTTGCATGAATGCTCATCACCCTTCCTGTACTGAAGTTATATGAGAGCAGGCTCATGCCTTTATTTTTTTCTCAAAACGGAAACTTCAGCCATATATTTTTACAACTTTTTATTTTGAAAGACTTTAGACCTACAAAGGTGGCAAAAATATTAAGCATTTCCATGTTCCCTTCACCTAGCTCTTACTGATGTTAACATTTTACATTCCTGGTAGAAAGTCTCAATAAACTGGGAACAGAAAGGAACTTACTGATAAAGTATATCTTAAAAATATGGCCAGGAGTGGTGGCTCGCACCTGTAATCCTAGCACTCTGGCAGGCCGAGACAGGAGAATCCCTTGAGGTCAGGAATTTGAGACTAGCCTGAGCAAGAGTGAGACTCCCATCTCTACTGAAAAAATAGAAACATTTAGACAGGTGTGGTGGCCACAGTACAATTAACAAAACCAAGTCATTAACATCAGTGAAATCCTATTTCTGATCCTTTTACTTTTTTCTTTTCTTGAGACAAGATTTCATTCTGTCACCCAGGCTAGAGTGCAGTGGCATCATTATAGCTCACAGCAACCTCAAACTCCCGGGTTCAAGCAATCCTCCTGCCTCAGCCTCCTGAGTAGCTAGGACTACAGGCACGCACCACCATGCCCGGCTAATTTTTCTAGTTTTTTGTAGAAATGAGGTCTTGCTCTTACTCAGGCTAGTCTCAAGCTCTGGCTTTAAGTGATCCTCCCACCTCAACCTCCCAGAGTGCCAGGATTACAGGTGTGAGCCACCGCACCCGGTCTCTCTGGTCTTTTCTCTAAGCCAGCATCCAAATGAAGATCTCCAATGCATTCAGTTGCCGTATTTCTTTACTCTCTTCCAGTCTGTGCCTATTCCTCAGTCTTTCCTTATTGTTCATGGCCGTGACACTTTTGAAGGGTACTGGCCAGTTATTTTGTAGAGCTTCTCGCAGTTTGGGCTTGTCTGATCTTTTTTCATGATTTCATTGAGATTACGCATTTTTGACAAGAATACCACAGAAGTGACATTGTGCCCTTCTCAGCACATCATACTAGGAGGTGCATGATGTCAATGTGTCTTATTAGTGTGGATGTTAACTTGATCACTTGGTCAAGGTGGCCTCTGCCAGGTTTCTCCACTACAAAGTGACTATTTTTCCCCTTATGATTAGTATCTTGTTAGATCTTAAGATGATGCCAAGTCCTGTTTCCCATCATAGTTGTATCTACTAACTTTGCATCCATAGATGTTCCTTGTCTGCAACAATTATTCCTTAGGTGTTTGCCCAATGGTGTGTTTTTTTTTCTATTTCTATCATTCCTTCTGATGCAGGGAGTGTCCCAATGAGGGGAGGGAAGCCCCCTGAATTCGACAAGTGAGTTCTTGGCTTCAAGAGAGTTCTGGCTGCAGGAAGGAATTCAAGAGCCAGCCAGCTAGCCACAGAAAGTTTATTGAGAGACAGACAATAGATCCTACTTTACAGACAGAGCAGGGTCCTCTCCTGAGTAGGGGCAATGGTAATGTTTTTAAATGTTCAAAAAACCCTGTTAGAAACAGCTGTATGTGACCAGCATTGTCTTGAGGTCAGGCCATAAAGTGTAATCATAAACTGCTGTCACAGAAAGGTCAGCACAGTTTGTTAAGGCATCAGCTTAGTAATTCATGCAGCCCCAGGTGGTCTCGGGCTGGAGATTTCTTCCTGGTGACTTGCTCAGGGTGGTTAGGGTCTGGTATCGGTCACAATCCCTGCACCCAGGCTCTCTCAATCTTTCTTTTCTGCTTTAGCCCTAGGTTATTCTACATTTAATTTAGATTCTATTGTCTATGGGATTCTGTTGTGTATTTTTATTCAATGGATTATAACCCATTGTCATTATTTTGTTGTTCAGAGTGCCCCAGATTTGGCCACTGAGAGCCCTTCAGGTTGATTTCTGTGTCCTTTCAATATGCCTGCATGTTCTTATTTCTTTTTTTTTTCTTCCTCCTATTTTCTTGGTGTAATTTCTTCTTTGTTGCTCCCTGCTGCTGTTGTGAATAGTCTGCTGAGCCTATTCTGTTTTTTTTGTGTGGTTTTTTTTTTTTTTTTTTTTGTATTCTCTCATCATACTGTTGGTTCGTTTGTTTTTTTTCTTCCCCCTTTTTTTTGTTGTTGTTTTATTCTTCTTCTGTAGTTTTTTGTTTCTTTTTTTTTTTTCTTTTCTTTTCACTTTGATTTTTTTTCTTTTCTTGTTTGTTTTTATTTTTTTTGGGGTTTTGGGAACCTTCCCCTTGTTTTTTTTTAGGATTCCCGGTTTTCCAAATTCCCTTCGATTTTGGCCGAAGTATCCCGCCCGGTACATCCTTTATGCCTTGTTATTTCTTCTTCCTCCCACCCTATTCCTACCTACCCTCCACAGATAACTAATCTCATTAGTCTCTGATTAATCTTTCCCTATTTATTTTGTACAGATAAGCAGATACATGTATCCTCTTATATCCTCCTCTTTGTTATATAAAAAGTAGCACATTATACTTTTTGCACTTAACAATGTATTCTGAAAACAACTCTGTATCAATTCATACAGATCCTTCTGTTTTAGAGCTAAAGAGTATTCCATCATGTGGGTACTGTTTATGCACCTATTCATTTATATATGGACATTTATGTTGTTCCCAACATTTGCACTCCCAATGCTGCAATGAATAATCTTGTGCATATATATGTTTGTATTGTTGGGGGTGTTTCTTCAAGGGAAATTCCTGGGTGGGGAATGGTGAGGTCAAAGGGTGAGTGCTTTTGTAGTTTTGTTAAGTACTGACAAGTTCCTCTCCAGAAGGGTTATATCAATTTGCATTCCCACCAGCCGAGTTTGTTTCCTTATAGCCCCGCCTAACAAAATGTGTGGTACTTTTTTGTCTTTCACCAATCTAAGGTAATAAACAATATCCCAGTATTATTCCAATTTGCATTTCTGTAATCACGAGTGGGTCTGAACATTTCGGTTTTTTAAGAGCCATTTTTACATCTCTATGACTGTGTGTTCGTGTCCTTTCCCAATTTTTCTATCAAGTTTTGGCCCCTTTGTCCCTTACTTTTTCAATTCTTCATATAGTAGGAATATTAACTCTGATACCCCCTGCAAATATTTCCTCCCAGTCTTTTGACTTTATAGTGCTTTTTGCCAAGCATTTTTTCCCTCCTTATGTAGTCTAATTTATCAATCTTTTATTGCCTCTGGATTTTTTCATCCTGGTTTTTAGTATTTCTATGGTTCCATTTTCTTATATTTGGATCCTACATCCATTTGGAGTTCATTCTTGCATATGATGTGAAGTATGGCTCTAATTTCAACTTTTGCAAATGGCTTCCAGTTGGCTCAGCACCATTTATTAAAGTCCACGTGCCCTGTGATTTGAGATGCCACCTTCCACTTCTCACCTCCCACCCCCAAGAGACCTCAAGGAATATTTGACCCAAAGGCACAGCAGATATAAAAAGATCAAGTAAGCCACCAAGATTTCATTCAAGAATGTAAACTAAAAAACAATGGTGAGGCCAGGCATGGTGGCTCACACCTGTAATCCTAGCACTCTGGGAGGCTGAGGTGGGCAGATCGCTCAAGGTCAGGAGTTCCAGACCAGCCTGAGCAAGAGCAAGACCCCATCTCTACTAAAAATAGAAAGAAATTAGCTGGACAACTAAAAATATATATGAAAAATTAGCCAGGCATGATGGCGCATGCCTGTAGTCCCAACTACTGGGGAGGCTGAGGCAAGAGGATCACTTGAGCCCAGGACCTTGAGGTTGCTGTGAGCTAGGTTGACACCATGGCACTCTAGCCTGGGCAACAGAGTGACAGACTTGTCTCAAAACAAAAACAAAAACAATGGTGAGAAAAAGGCAGAAAGATCTAACAGGGGGAAAAGGCTGGAGAAGAGGTTACAATGCGATGGGAAAGCAAAACAGCACACGAAGGAGGCAGACAGTGACACAGAATGGAGCAGAGGGGCCGGTCTCTAAACTTCCCACATCTTACCTGAACCACAGCAACGAATCCTCCCAACACAAACAACCCACCCCAAACAAGCTTCTGAGATCCCAAGATGTGTGATACATGGAAAACGCAGCCAGGACAAAGGAGAAATTCTCAGCAAGTTAAAAAGATTTATTGCCATCCCAGGCTTCACAGGAGCCCAGAATGCCGGGCTGGTGTGTGGTTCAGGAAGTTGTCGTGGCATGACAGGGTGGTGGACACAGCCAGGCAGCCTGACGTCAAGTCCACTCTCTCATCCTTGCACCCCACGGAGCAGCTGCCTGTGGGGCCCCCTCTTCCGCACCTGCGCCATTCACCCCGGTGGGCTCCGGGGCTGGGGCAGGCAGCCCTGTGATCCCGCAGCTCACAGCTGAGAGGCCGCCTGCACCTCCCTGGCACGGAAGAGCCTTCTTTGCAGAGCCATGGGTTTGGCCCCACGGAGGGAGAAAGGGTGCCAGGAGTTGTCTTGAGAGGAGAAGGTGTCCACGGTCTTAGGTCAGAGGTTGCAAACTGGATACCCACGAGCCACATGTCCCCACCAACATGTCCGTTTGGCCCCTTTGGCTCACAGTGTTAAAAAAAAAAAAATTAGCTGCCAATGTTTAGAAATTGTAAGATTTCATATCAGAATCTGGATTTTGGGCTTCTCTAGGAGAAAAAATTGAGACTATCTGGCAATGCTAGTCCCACAACATTTCTACATGGCACTGCCGGCTTCTAGCTGGGTCGTCCTTACGAACTGGCTGTGTGCTCTCCAAATTATGCCAGTCCTTGCCATCCTTAATTAGACGCAGCCAGAGCCCGGGCTCGGCTGCCTGGTATCAATCAATGCATGTGTGCTCTAACTTTTTCTGTGGTATAGAAGTATTTACCATATCCATTGTGTGTAGTATCTTTATCAAAAAAGGAGGCAACATGTTTCTAGCAGTCCTCGTCCTTCACTGAAGTCTCTTGTTTAACCCTGCGGCACCTGAGTTTGTAAACGAGTTCATAAATCTCTCCCCCCAGGGACTGCCCGCACACACCCTGCCTCTCCGGGCCACACTGTGCCCTGGGGTTAATTAGGCAAACCTAGAAAAGAAATCAAAATTAATCACAGAAATTAATGGAGGACTAGACTAAGGTCAACGAGTTAAGCCTTTTCATTGTAAAAGCAGGCTGCGGGCTGGAGCAGAATGAAAATGGTAGTGCTCTCACTCTGCTTTAGTTAGTAACCAGTAAAAAAGAAAGTCATAAAGGTAGTTTAGGAGGCCAAGACTGGGGCAGTCTAAACTGGAGGTCCCAAAACACATTGGTTCCCATTCCTTGAGTGTTTGGGAAACGAACGAGGCTCTTTAGAAAGAAGGCGACAGAGGTGGGGGAAGGGACGTGGCTGGCCCAGATGTCCTGGGCTATCAAGAGCTGCCAGGCTCGACCTCCACTGGGTCAGGGCTGCTTGCCCCAGCCTAAAACGTCAGTGGCGCAAGATGATTTTCAGGGAAGGTAGCAGACTCATCATCGTAGGAGCTGGAGAAGGGCAGAGCCAGAAGTTGGCCTTGGCAAACGCCAGGCAGAGGAAGAGAGACCTTCCTCACACCCTTTCATTCTGCTGTGGCTGCTGCCCCGCTATTTGCCCTTGAGAGAGGCGGCGATCTTGACGCAGGCCAGACGTGTCCCGCTGCTGCTCAGGATGCTCTGGATGCGGTAGTTCCCGGTGCTGAGCCAGCCCGGCAGCTCCAGGTCGGGCATGGTGAAATCACTCTTGGGTAGTGAGTAGGTGCCCTGCGGGAAAGCCAGTGGACCGCCAGTCAGTGGGGGCCTGCTGACGGGATCTCTCTCCTGGAGCCGCCGCTAAGACTATAACCAGGAACTACCCCTCCCCCTAATAGCAACATAAGGTTAGAGACTGCCATGGCTCTGCGGAGCACAGATTATTATAGCTAAAGGGCCTTGGAGATCACCTCCAAGTTCAAGTCTCCCATTTCAAAGATGGATAAACTGAGGCCCCCAAAAGTTAAGTGATTCCAGATAGGTCATGCCAACTTGCACATCCAGAAGAAACATCCAGAACTACAGGACGGAGAGAAAGCAAAGACCCTTCCATCTAAACCCCATCTCTTTAGTCACAGGAGTAAGGCTCTCCCCTCCCTAAGTACTCACGTCTTTGAAGGGACAGTGGCAGGGAAGCCCATAGGTGTGCAAGGGCTCTGGGCAGGGGTTCCCAGGGGGAATAAAAGTATCAAGCACATTACAGAAGTCGTCATATGTACAGCTGCCAATCTGTTCCACGCACGGGATTTTGACCCAGAAGCCAGCCACTTCCTTTTCCACAGTTAATTCCACCTGGTGAAAAAAGAGTTTGAAAAAGGTTACAAGTGTAAATTCCAGGGCAAACATACCAGCCTCTCTGTCTTTTTAAAAGGTCACCAACAGGCCAGGCAAGGTCACTCATGTCCGTTATCCTAGCACTCTGGGAGGCCGAGGCAGGAGGATCGCTTGAGGTCAGGAGTTCAAGACCAGCCTGAGCAAGAGCGAGACCCCCATCTCTACTAAAAAAAAAAAAAAATAGAAAAAATTAGCAGGGCATGGTGGCATACACGTGTAGTCCCAGCTACCCAGGAGGCTGAGGCAGGAGGATTATTTGAGCCTAGGAGTTTGAGGTTGCCATGAGCTAGGCTGATGCCACTATACTCTAGCCTAGGTAACAGAGCGAGACTTTGTCTCAAAAAAAAAAAAACAAAAGTTAGCAATATATTTTAATCACAGAATTTTTAACTGGTTGGGACCTTAGAGATATTCTGTTCCAAAAATGACAGTATTGTGGCAAAGGCCCTTTCCTGTGCCCATAGCAGACATTAATAACTGAATGTGTGAATTCTGCCCCCGCACTGAACTACACACAGCCCTAGAATTCTTTAGGTAGTCACTAACCATTGATTAGCGCTAACACTTGCATTGAAATGCACTTTTAACTGCTGGTGGGTGAACTTCACTGTCTCCTGCACTTTCCCTCCATGCCCGGTCTTGGCCTCAGAACCCTTTTCTACATAGAACTCCAAACAGCTGCCGTCGACTGACTGGAGCTGGTTACCAAGATTCACTGGCTGTTCCTACATCATATTTTCTCTGTATAGCCATAGAAGACAGAAATAAGAACAATAGGAACTTACCGGGAGATCACTTTGCCATCGGTATAAAATCTTAATCACAGCTAGGTTACAACCGATGGAACAACCCCAAGAAGTGGTGGCTCCCTGGACTCAGCTGGGGAAGCTACAGAAGGACCCCTGCACCCAGAGAGAAGCTAGATGGGAAGATCTAGAACATGCTTGAGGACTGAACTCTAATTTTTTGCTAAAAACTCCTTCCTAAAGAGGCCAGTTGGGTTAGGCTGGCAAATGGTAAGGAGGCCAGCAGGGTTAGGCTGACAAACGGTAAATTCCCACAAAGCGGCTTTTGTTAACCAAACGAAGCAGTGGTTTACTTCCTGACCTGATTCTGGTATGGCATTAACATCACCTAAAAGATAAGAAGCCCCTGTCTTAACTCAAGCATCCTGGCAGATGCCTATCATAAATCTAAAATGTCTTAACTGAGCATCCTAGCAGGCGCCTATTCTTAAATTTAAAGCATCTTAAAACATCCTAGCAGGCGCCTATTGTAAATTTAAAATGTCCTCCTGTCTGGACCTCCCAGAGTGCTCATACCCTTATCTTAAAGTAAGCATATCCTTTCTGGTCTTCTAGATAAAGTCTAACCCTCTCAGCCAATTGCCAGCCAAAGAATCTTTAAACCCACCTATAACCTGTAAGCCCCCGCTTTGAGATGTCCCACCTTTTTGGGCCAAACCAATGTATACCTCTCATGTATTAATTTGTGACCTTGCCTGTAACCTTTGTCTCTCTGAAAATGTATAAAACTGAACTGTAACCCAGCTACAGCGAGCCCACTTGCTCAAGGCTTCTTGAGAGTGGCTCCGGGTCATGGTCCTCAAATTTGGCTCAGAATAAACTTCTTTCAAATATTTCAGGGCTTGGATTTTTTCCGTCCACATGCTTCACACCCCCATGCTGTCATGATTCTCCTCCTGTTCCAGAGGTTGGAGCTGAACCGGGAGAAGTGGCCAGGACTTCAAGGTGGACAGTCCCAGTTGTTCCTGGCACATGCTGAGCACTCACCATTTAGTAGCTGTCTCTAGTAACAAATGAGTTATTCCTTAGACACGTGTTCATGCACCACCAAAGGTATCAAGGGAAAACTCTCGGGGAAGGCAGTAGGAAACGAGCTCGCAAGTATCTGATTCCTTGTGGGTGCTGTGGCAGGAAGCCACGTTTTTAGGATCCCTTTAAGCTCTGACGTTCTAGCATTCTATGAGTCTCAGCCTCCAGGCTCACTTTCCCTGGGGCTTTGTCTCTAAGAGAGGAATGCTGGGCTCAGGCTGGATCCCCAGGCTGTCGGTTCGAGTCTTCCCCCTGCCCCAGATGTCAGGATATTGGCTGCTGACCAGGCACAGTGGCTCACACCTATAATCCTAGCACTCTGAGAGACCGAAGCGGGAGGATCGCTAGAGGCCAGGAGTTCGTGATGGGAGGATATTGGCTGCCTTCCTCCAAGCCCAGAAAGAAGGCTGAAGTCAACACACCCTGTACCTCGAGTGGACAAATTCAACTTGCTCCCTTGCTGGCCTCAGCTGCTGCTGACACACACCCATTGCCCTCACCCCCACTCTCGCAGCACCTGCCCAGCTCTCCTCTCCTGCCAAACCTGCTCCCACCTGCCCTCTGCCTAGAGCCAGAGGGCCTGGGTTGGAACACTAGTTCTGCCACTTACTAGCATTCTGCCCTTGAGGGAGTTACTTATCTCCTCTGAGCATCCATTTCCTTATCTTCAAAAGCCTGATAGCGCCTCCCTCTCACAGGGGTCTCATTGGATGGGACCCGTAACTGCCCAGCACTTATCACAGTGCCTGAAATCCAAAAATTGCCTCCTACCTGACTTGTATCCCACCTGCTTCCTTAGTTAATACCCTCTCCTGGTTTCCCCAATACCCCAATAAAAATGGTTGAGCCAGTTATGCCCTGAGCAAGAACACCCAGCTGAGGGGGCCAGCAAGGGTCGGGATCCTGCCTGGATCCTCCCAGCAGGCTTAAGTCCCATGGGGCTGCATGGTCTAGAGGGGGCAGCACCTCCCTCACCCCTACTCCTACCCCCAGCCCAAGTGTGACATAGGAAAGGTGCTGAACTTAAGTCCACAGATGGTTCTAAGGCAGTAGCCACACCTACCACTTAGGGATTGCAAACTATGACTCTTTTTTTTTTTTTTTTTTTTTTTGAGACAGAGTCTCACTCTGTTGCCTGGGCTAGCATGCTGTGGCGTCAGCCTCACTCACAGCAACCTCAAACTCCTGGGCTCAAGCTATCCTCCTGCCTCAGCCTCCCGAGGAACTGGGACTACAGGCATGCACCACCATGCCTGACTAATTTTTTCTATATATATTTTTAGTTGTCCAGCTAATTTCTTTCTTTTTTTTTTTTTTTTTTAGTGCAGATGGGGTCTTGCTCTTGGTCAGGCTGGTCTGGAACTCCTGACCTTAGGCAATCCTCCCGCCTCAGCCTCCCAGAGTGCTAGGATTACAGGCATGAGCCACCATGTCCGGCTGATGACTCATTTCTGATTCTCAATCTACTGCCTTGGATGGCTCAGAAGAGCAAGCGGGGCTGGGTAATTCCAGGACTTCCTTGGGACTTCCATAGCACAGCCTAAATACACTCTTCTGTGTCATGGGACCTGGCGTAGGGATCTCCGGTTCTAGCCTTAGGCTGGCACACACCTGCTGGGGCCCTTAAGCAAGTCCCTTCCCCTCTCAGGGACTCTGTTTCTCCATCTCGACAATCAGGTACCTGCCTGTTATGACATCCTAAAAGTCAGTTTCTTGTAGTCTGGGAAAAAACACTTCTCCTTTGGTCCCTACATATGGCCACTCACACAAAGGCCCCAGATAAAGACTCACTGACAGCAAGAGACTTGCAGAGCAGCTGCTGATTAGACTGGGGAGGGGCACTTATATTTCTGACACAGGCCCCAGGCAGGGAGCATTGCAAGTGCGTGACTTTGGCAGGTGGGAGACCACATCATTGGGCCTGAAAGCCTGAAATAAGCATACACGCCAAACACAGGGACAATCCACAATACTTAAGGATAGGAAACCCAGGGTCTGCAGGCTGGAACTTTTTTTTTTTTTTTTGAGACAGAGTCTCGCTTTGTTTCCCAGGCTAAAGTGAGTGCCGTGGCGTCAGCCTAGCTCACAGCAACCCCAAACTCCTGGGCTCAAGCAATCCTCCTGCCTTCACCTCCCAAGTACCTGGGACTACAGGCATGCGCCACCATGCCCAGCTAATTTTTTTCTATATATATTAGTTGGCCAATTAATTTCTTTCTATTTTGTATAGTAGAGACGGGGTATCGCTCTTGCTCAGGCTGATTTTGAACTCCTGACCTCGAGCAATCCACCTGCCTCAGCCTCCCAGAATGCTAGGATTATAGTCGTGAGCCACCACGCCCAGCCCGCAGGCTGGAACTTGAAGCAGGGCCGGGCAGGGGGACTTATAAACTACACCAGCTCCGGCACGTCAGAAGAAGGGAATTCCAGAACAGGCCCCCATCTCGCCCATGGCTCGTGGAATCTGGGGCATCCAACCTGGGGTTAAAACCATCTAGGTCCCAGATGAGACTTCTGATTAAAGAAATTTCACTACAGCAAGGTCAGAGAAGAGAGGATCGGAGTTGCCTTCCGGCTCTATCGCTAACAGGCTGCCTGGCCTGGGCTGCCCCTCCCCTCTGTACTCAGTATAATGAGGGGTTGAAGCCCCACAGACCTCAAGAGCTCGCAGGCTCAAACAGTGCTTAGGTCTGGGCAGCTCTCATACGGGGATCTGCCAGGAAGGGGAACGTTCTGGAAATGAACCTGCAGTACCACTTCCCTTAACTCCCTTGCAAACACACCAAGCAGTAAGTCTAACTCCTGCCAGAAGGAACTCCGGAACAGGAACCTCAAGATAAACACACCAGCCCTGCCCTTGCTAACGACTAGCTCCGGGACCTGGGCAAGTGGCTCCCATCCCTGAGCCTCGTACCCCTGTCGTCTTTCCTCCCTAGCAGGCGTCAGAGAGGCTTGCATCTAATAGTTGATGTGCACGCAAACTGAAAGGAAAGAAGAGCTGGGCCAAAAATACGTAGGTAAGAGAAATGTGGGGGGAAGGGAAGGAGCCGAGGGAATCTGGGGCCAATTTTTACTAAGCAAAAGTGAGAGTAAAGACAAAAGAAGTAAATTAGGCCCAAATTCATGACAGGTATAAAATCCATCTTAACAGCTTCTGAAAGGTGTTACAGGAAACAGCCAGGAAAGCTAGGAAAGGCAGGCGAGGGCCGAAGAAGGAGCTCGGCAGCTTCTTGCCTCCAAGTCAGCGGCACAGACAGCCTCAGCGTTTTTGGAAATGCCACCAGCCGTTGTGTGGCAAAGGCAGGAGGTGGCAGGAGAGCGAGCAATGGCAGCAGGCCTACAGCCCAATGCAAGTGGTATTTTTGTGACCCTGGCAGAGTGACAGTCCAGTGTCCATACGTAAGGAATGATTCTGCCCCTCTGCCGCCTGTTACTTGAGGAACAATAAAGAAAATGCAATGGGCCAGCCGGGAGAAGACTCTGGCGCAAGTGCAGGGGAGCCAAGAGCTGCTACGTAGCCAGGACTTGTGTCTGGGCCACGGGGGCTGCAGGGAAAGACGCATGCTAATTGCATCATTAACAAGACTGAACGTGCACTGTGCTTGTCCTGGGTGCCAGGCCCTGTGTAGGGAAATTTTTACATTATTTATTAACTCAGGTGTTGCTCAAGGGAAACCTGTAAGGTAGGGGCTGTGATTAAGCTAGGTCTAAGGGTAGTTACAGGGCCACAGATTCCAAATCAGGAATCTTTCAAATAATTAAGACAAAACTACCAGAATAGATCTGGACCAGGAACAGACTGGAGGGCATGTTAGAACATCATATGAAGACGGCAATTTAAGCTAGAGAGTAAAGGACTACAATAAATGGTGGTGCAGTGGATATACAGAAAACCTTTATTGTTCTCCTAAATCCACCCCCAAATTAGGCAATGGACAGAGATAAACTGGCTATTGCCAAAGTAAATACAAAAGGCAAATAAACTTATCAATTGTCATCTAAACTCACTAGGAATGGTATAAAAGGCTGGCAAAGATTTTTAGAAAATGCTCCGTATTAATAAATGTGGAAAAAGGCAAATCTGTTGTTGCTGGTTAGGGAATAAGTTGGTTCAAGCACTGGGAAGCACTTTGACAATGTGCATCAAAAGATCTAAAAAGTATGTATCTAGATAGTCAGAAAATTCTAAAAAGATGCATTATAAGAAAAATTTCTACAAAGATCTTTTTTTTTTTTTTTTTTTGAGACAGAGTCTCACTCTGTTGCCTGGGCTAGAGTGCCGTGGCGTCAGCCTAGCTCACAGCAACCTCAAACTCCTGGGCTCAAGTGATCCTTCTGCCTCAGCCTCCCGAGTAGCTGGGACTACAGGCATGCACCACCATGACCAGCTAATTTTTTCTATAGATATTTTTAGTTGGCCAATTAATTTCTTTCTATTTTTAGTAGAGACGGGGTCTTGCTCTTGCTCAGGCTGGTTTCAAACTCCTGACCTCGAGCAATCCACCTGCCTCGGCCTCTCAGAGTACTAGGATTACTTACAGGGGTGAGCCACCGCGCCCGGCCTACAAAGATCTTTATAATAGTAAATAAATAAATAAAACCAAAAACTAACCTGGAAACAAACTAAATGTCCACCAATAGATTTTTTTATATAAATTATGAAAGATCCACAATAGAATATTTCTACTATTAAAAATGATTAGGTTAAAAAATGAGTGGGCAAGCCTACCTAATCATTGGAAAGAAGTATGAAACACATAATGTGATACAAAAAAAAAAAAGCAAGTTTACTAGCACATATCATGTAATCCCATTCATTAGTATAAATGTGTATATATTCACAAATGTAAAAAGGAAAAACCTGACAGGATAAATAGCTCACAACGATTCTCTTGGGGAGTCAGATTATAGGAGGACATTCACAAGGAGCACTGCTTATTTTCATATATATCCATTAAAAGGAAACATATATGTTATGCACGTGATTGCATAGGGGAAAGTTGCAAAGTGTATCCTACAACATGTTAAAAGCCCACGTGACCTCGTAGCGCAATGGGTAGCGCGTCTGACTCCAAGATGTTAAAAGTCCTTATCTGTTATCACTAGGTGGTGAGATTTCAGGTGATTTCTTCTCTTTATTTTTTGACTTTATACGACTGACTTTTTTGACCATCTGTGTTTTCTAAAGGGAGTACATATTGCTGGCTAATTGATGCCTATTTTATCATTAACAGCAGCAGCAGCGACGAAATTAAAATGCCCAAGCAGAGCTGTCAGGCGATGGTGAGCGCTCAGCCATCGCTTCCAGACAAGGCTGGGGCACTTCTGTCAGTCGTCCCTGCCCTCACCAGGAAGCCGCTGGGGCTGACATCAGTGATTCCTTTCAATCCTAAGATTGTGACATTCCAGGAACCCAAGTAAGAGTCTGAATCTATGCATCCTGCGCTGCCCCAGCAACTCCAGGATCACAGTTCCCCAAGCACTCGCCCCTCAGCATCCCGTCCCATTGCTCACTGGCAGCCCATGGCACCGCCCTCCCCTGCCAGACTCACCTTCAGAGGAGAACTGAGGGCGACACTGGTCTGGCCCTTGGCACTGATGGTCACGTTCCCAGGCACGACTATGGGGTCAGGCTCCAGAGTCAGGCTTTTGATCACCGCAGGGTCCTTCCCCTCGTCACAGTTATCCCAGGAGAAGCTGCCAAGCTGGGGTGGCCAGGCATAATCGGGCAGCAAGGAAAGAGGAGAAAAGACAGGTTGACGAAAGTGACCGTCACAGGTGAGCAGAGCCCACAGAACCAGGTGGTAGTGTGACTGTGGGCAAGGTCCCTGCCTCCCTGAGCCTCGTCTGTAAGTCCACACCTGTGAACCTGGCATGAACATCTAGGAACCTTGTCCCACCCATTTTGGAGGCAGGACTCAACTAAAAGACTCAAAAGACGCGATCTCCCAAAAGTGTGCTGTAAACTGTAAGGCACAATCTATCAGACCTGGAACTTCAAAACAGGAGACTGACTTTATCCACCTTGGGTGGAGACCTGCCCTGCCCTCCCACCTCCCTGCTGCCCACCCCTCTCCAGCCAGTCCTGGGATCCCTCTAGAGGCCAAGCTCCTGGAGGAGTCACCTCTGCAGCCCACGCCCAGGACCTTGTTCTTGTCACACCCCATGCCCAATCCATGGCCAGGAACAATGGGAAATGCCAAACACAGTGGGAAACAGAACAGCATCCAAAACCCCATCCCCAAGGCAGGCAACTAACCCATAATGGAATAGGGATACATGCAAACATCCCCAAGTGGGTCACTTGATGAATAATTCCAGTGCACAGACTTCCCCAGTCCTAACCAGTGCTGTCTTCTTCCCATCCCATTGCTCATGCATGTCCCCATCTGAGTCAACTCCACCCGCTGCTCAGCTACTTCTGCTCTTCCTCCGCATCCCCCAGGAGGTCTCCTGATTCCTCCATCATTTTGTTCAACGCCATGTGACCACCCACTCCCACTCCCACAGGGCCCTGTCTGCCTGCCTCATGACCCTGACACTGCGCAGGCTCTCTGCCCACCCATCACAGCTTTCCCAGCCCCCGGCAGGCCCACCATCCGCACCCCGTCTCAGAAAGAAAACCCACCAGTCCCACATGCCCGGGCTGACCCAATCTTTAACATGCCCAGTGACGATGGATCAAAAGGGACACCTAAGCCTGGCTAGGCTGACAGATTCTCTCTGCTGGATTCTGGAATTAAGGCACAAAAGGCTGAGAATGTGGGGCTTTGCACTGTCATTGGGTCATAAGTTTGAGGGCAGAGCACCTAGACCTGGGACCAAGGACCAAGCTGAAGTTGAGGAAGGGATAAAAACTAAGGGCTTGGTCGGGTGTGGTGGCTCACGCCTATAATCCTAGCACTCTGGAAGGCCAAGGTGAGAGGATCCTTTGAACTCAGGAGTTCGAGACCAGCCTGAGCAAGAATGAGACTCCCGTCTCTACTAAAAAAAAAATAGAAAGAAATTAGTTGGACAACTAAAAAAATATATATATATATATATTAACCAGGCATGGTGGCACATGCCTGTAGTCCCAGCTACTCGGGAGGCTGAGGCAGGAGGATCGCTTGAGCCCAGGAGTTTGAGGTTGCTGTGAGCCAGGCTGACACCACGGCACTCACTCTAGCCCGGGCAACAAAGTGAGACTCTGTCTCAAAAAACAAAATAATGAAAAAAAAAAAAGAACTAAGAGCCTTATGGGACTAGAGAAAAGGGAACAGATGGAGTCACCCTACCCCATCAAAAGAGCAGGATGGCGCAGCAGTGATGGCGTGGCTTTGGAGTGAGACACAGTCAAACAGACCTGGGCGGAAATCACAGCTCAGTCACATCTACCATGTGATTCTATAGGCCAGTTACCACTTTGGAGCCTCAGTTTCACATCTTTTAATTGGAGGCATTTCTACCTTCCTCTCGGGGCTGCTGCAAGGGTGAGAGCACGTAGGTAAAGCTTGTAACCCAGTGCCAGGCACAGAGCATGAGTGGCTCCCTACAGGGGAGCCATCAGATGCCCCAGCCTCCGCTTCCTGCCATTAGCTCCATGAGATGCCTTGTTGATCAGTAATAAAGCTCCCCTCTTCTTGAGCTTCTTGGAATGGGTTTCTATTCCGTGATGAATGAAAGGTTGTGCCATGACTAAGAGAGGCAGGACAGGATGGGTGCCACTAAATGTTTCCTTCAACGTTCACGCCACAAATATTTATGGAGCAACCATTACAGGCCCAGGACTAAGTGCTGCGTCAACAGTGGTAAACAACTAGGCCCGGCTCCTGCCCTGCCGTGAGCAGCTTACAGTCCAGTGGAAATAAACGTCACCCACCACGATGCGTGAGTGCCACAAACGGAATGAGCAGAAGGTGACATTGAGAGTAACAAAAGACAACTTAAAGTGGGCGGTGGGGAAGTGGTACTCAAGCTGGACTCTTGCAGGGTGGGGAGTCATCCATGTAAGCACAGAGACGAAGAATGTTCCAGGCAGGGGAACCAGGGCAAAGGCCCTGAGGCAGAAAGAAGCTTAGCTGTTCTAGGCAGGACGAGAAAGACAAGGGCTAGATGTAGCGGATGAGGGACCCAGAGGAGGCGGGAGGGGTGGCAGGGCCACTCAACGCAAGACTCCCCAGGCCATCAGTCAGGAGGCTGGCCTTGCCATCAGTTCATGCAGCCCTGCTGAAGGACAATGCCATGTTCTGGCGGATGTCTGTAAACACGCTGGAGAGGAACAAGACTGGAAGGGGAGAAACTGGTCAGGAGGCCACAGTCAAATGAAAGAATTCCTGGCGGCCGGGCGCGGTGGCTCACGCCTGTAATCCTAGCACTCTGGGAGGCCGAGGCGGGTGGATTGCTCAAGGTCAGGAGTTCGAAACCAGCCTGAGCGAGACCCCGTCTCTACCAAAAATAGAAATAAATTAATTGGCCAACTAAGAATATATATACAAAAAATTAGCCGGGCATGGTGGCGCATGCCTGTAGTCCCAGCTACTTGGGAGGCTGAGGCAGTAGGATCGCTGAGCCCCGGAGATTGAGGTTGCTGTGAGTTAGGCTGACGCCACGGCACTCACTCTAGCCTGGACAACAAAGTGAGACTCTGTCTCAAAAAAAAAAAAAAAAAAAAGAATTCCTGGAACCAAGAGTCAGGCTGGAGGGGTGCGTAGGACTGGCCCTTTTCTGGGGCTGCTTTCACAGATTCTGAGGCAGTGCTGTGGATTGATTCCAGGCTGCGGGAAGTATCCACAGTGTCCTCCAGGAGCTGAAGAACCCTCGCCCCTCTCCCCAGGTGATGGAGGCGACATGACAAACTGGTTTCCTGAGGGCAGTGCCTGGGTGGCTGTCCCTGTGGCCATGAGTTCTGCCCGCTGAGTAGGGGGCTCATCAGGGAAAGAAGGGGAAAGGATGGCATTGCTAATAAACTATCCAACAGAGAAAAACAAACCAATACAAAAAGATAGAAAGATCACAGCTCACAACAGCCCTTTTGTTTGACTAACCACCTGTGGCTTAACTTGTGGTCTTTAAGGGTTTGTTTTTAGGCTGTGCATGGTGGCTCACACCTGTGATCCTAGCATGCTGGGAGGCCAAGGTGGGGGGATCACTCAAGGTCAGGAGTTCGAAACCAGCCTGAGCAAGAGCAAGACTGTCCCTACTAAAAAAGTAGAAAGAAATTAGCTGGACAACTAAGAAATATATATGTGTATATATATATAGCCAGACATGGTGGCACATGCTTGTTATCCCAGCTACTCAGGAGGCTGAGGCAGGAGGATTGCTTGAGCCCAGGAGTTTGAGGTTGCCGTGAGCTAGGCTTGACACCACGGCACTCTAGCCCGGGCAACAGAGTGAGACTTTGTCTCAAAAAAAAAAAGAGTTTGTTTTTACAACACTTAAAAAGAACTGAGCAGGTAGAAAGAATATGACCTCCCCCAGTTCCCACCAGCCACATTCTGGAGAGAATGATAAGTCAGCCTCACAGAGAAAAGGAAACAAAAAGGAAAAACATTTGCAGCCACTGCACAGCTGCCTTCTGCTATCAACTTGCAGCAATAACTCTTCTTGGCTTTACCCCTAGGACAAACCCCAAACCCCTTACCTTTAGGGTGGTACTTCTCCTTCCTTTCCTTCATGCTGTGCCCTTCCCTCCCCTCGGAAGTAAAAATAAACTTCTTTCTTTAAAACTATTCTAATCTTTACGTTGAGAATTCGTTCTCAGCCCGCACTGCAAGCCCTACCCTACGGGAAGGGGTGATGGCTTAGCAATGGCCACTGAGGGCCAGGCCAGCCACCAGGTACTCGCTGTCCCCAGCCTGGACCAACACGTGGGAAGAGGCAACAAATGGAGGCAGCTCCAGAGGTAGAAATATGGGCACAAATTACAGCCATGAGCTGAAAGTACAGCTCAGCTCCTCTCACTAGCTGACACCATGGGTAAGTTAACCCCCGACAAAGGTTCAATTTCTTCATCTTCAAAAGGGCAAAACTATGTCTTCTCACAAAGCTCTTGCGAGGGTAAGAAGTTTATGTACAGAAAATACAGGGCACAACTCCTCAAGACTGCCAAGCTTATGAAAAAAAAGGAAAAACTGAGAAACTGTCACAGGCCAGAGGAGAGTGGGGGCAACAATGCAACCATCATGTGTTGCCATGACAACAACGGCAACATGGTTGGATCCTGGCACAGAAAGAGGACCTTAATGAGAAACCTGGACAAAGCCTAGAGTTTAGTTAATAGCAATGTACCAATGTTGGTTTTTTTTAGTTTTGACAGATGATGTACCATGGAAATAGAACCTGCTAACAGGGGAAACTGGGTGAGAAGTATATGAGAACTCTGGGCTACCTCTGCAACTTTTCTGTAGATCTAAAATGATTTTGAAATGAAAAATTCATTAGGAAAAAAGCACATGCTGGCTCAAAGAGTAGCACCATTATACAGCATCATGGAGTTTCTCAGGCACCTGCTATATGCCCATCCTCCCTAGACACTCTCCCCGATATCTAACGCTCATCACAGCCGAGTCACAAGACCAGATAATGCTAGAAGAGGAACTGAAATTCAAGTTTTCTGATGTTCTAACACTCACGGCCTCCATCTGGCCCGGGGTCTCAGGGTCAGACCTCTGAATCACATGAGCCCAGAGATGTAGGTGCTGTGTGATTTGGGGTGACTTCAATGGCATCTCGAGCCCTCTAAGATCCTCTAGTCTGGGGTGACATCCACAGCAAAGGCATATAGGAGAATGGGGACATACGGCAGGCTAGTATCCGCTAGCCAGACTCCACCTTATAGTCGCCAGCCCTGGAGCCAAGAGAAACATTCTCAACCTACGCTCAGGGACAAGGTACAAACCCTCCCAGCAATTTAGGTCAAGAGGTCCTGGCTCCTTCATTCTACAGGCAAAACAGACTTCGTGCCTCTGAGACAGGGTGAGGCCAAGCCCACAGGTGTACATGGCTTTATTTGTTTGAGATTTTAGAGCTTCCCCCACCCCCACCCCATGACAGCATTTCCCTTCCCTAACAACTGTCCGAGATGCAGATGCCATCACCACATCCTCTCCCAGACCATGAGACCAGGGAGTCCAGGGAATGCTCGGACTGGGACAGAGGACGGAAGCCAGGCCTCCCCGCTTTCAGTCCTAGCCACTTTCCCCTACACCGCACTGTCCCTTGCTCTCTGACAAGCATTTCCAAGGTGGTGGTGGGCGGGAGCGAGGAGACCTGGGTAGACCTACTTCTTTGCTGCCAGAGGTGCTGGATGTCTTGTCCACAGCTATGTAGCCAAGAGGCAACTGAGCTGGGCTTTTTTTTTAATTGACAAATCATAGTTGTATACATTTATGGGGCACAATGTGAAATTTATTCTTTTAGTTATCTTGGAATACAGATACTCCCTGGCTTAGGATGGTTCCACCTACGATTTTTTCAACTTTACAATAGAGCAGAAGTGAGACACACTCAGTAGAAACTGTAACTTTGAGTATCCGTACTCTGCTTTTCACTGAAGTATTCAATAAATGACATGAGACATCCAACACTTTATTAAGAAATAGGCTTTGTGTTAGATGATTTTGCCCAACTGTAGGCTTATGTAAGTATTCTGAAAATGTTTAAGGTGGGATAGGCTAAACTATGATGTTTGGTAGGTTAGATATATTAAAATGCATTTTCGACTTGATGGTATTTTCAACTTACAATGGGATTATCACTATGTAACTCCATTGTAAGTCAAGAAACTTCTGTATATAATACATTTTTTTTTTTTGAGACAGAGTCTCGCTGTGTTGCCCAGGCTAGAGTGAGTGCTGTGGCGTCAGCCTAGCTCACAGCAACCTCAAACTCCTGGGCTCAAGCAATCCTGCTGCCTCAGCCTCCAGAGTAGTTGGGACTACAGGCATGCACCACCATGCCCAGCTAATTTTTTCTATATATATTAGTTGGCCAATTAATTTATTTCTATTTATGGTAGAGACGGGAGTCTCACTCTTGCTCAGGCTGGTTTCGAACTCCTGACCTCGAGCGATCCTCCGGCATCGGCCTCCCAGAGTGCTAGGATTATAGGAGTGAGCCAACGCGCCCGGCCTACAATACATTTTTATTGACTACAGATACCCTGGTGTACAATAAACTACAAAATCTATTCTGCCTGTCTATCTGAAACTTTGCATCCTTTGATCAGTAACTCCCCACTCCCTCCCTCCACACCCCCCTAGCCTCTAGTAACTACTCTTCTACTCTCTACTTCTGTAACTTCAATTTTGTCAGAGTCCACATGTGAGTGAGATCATAAAAACAGAAATACCCCATGAACCAGTAACCCTGCTTCTGGGTGTATATCCCAAGGAACTGAAATCAGTGTTTTCAAGGGATATTGGCCCTCCCATATTCATCTCAGCATTACTCACAAAGGCCAAGATATGGAAACAACCTAAGTGGCCAACAACGGACACTTGATGGATAAAGAAATTATCATCAAATTGAATGGATAAAGAAAATGTGGTATATATACACACGATGGAATATTATTCAGCTTCTAAAAGAGGGGCAACTCCTATCATTTGCGACAGCGTGGATGAATCGGGAGGACACTATGCTGGCACTGGGCTTTTTCGGGTCTCGGAATGACAGAACTTCCCCTTCCCAGAGGCTAGAGCGTGCTGTGAATGAGAAGTGAGGGGGAAGCTTGGAGGCTGCGGGACCTGGTCTCTCAGTGGCTCACAGGCTGGACATTTGTCTCCAGATGGGCGAGTCTGGACCTGCCTGTGGGGGCTCTCAAAGCCACCCGTCCCTCAGGAAGAGCTAGAGCATTAGAGCAGGGGAAGAGATAAGACACCAGGCCTTACCCCGGGACCTGGGCGTTGCAGGGAGGAGCAGGGTAACAGGACCGAATCTCGGCGCGGGAAAGTGACTTAGTTTTGCGGCTCTGCTCAGTTTCAGGCGCTTGGAGAGAGGGCAGGTCTGCAGACGTGAAAGAGATTAACGTCTCCAGAAACAGCCGGGGTGCAGAACAAGTCCTTAGAGCCCACTCTCCCGGTGCAGATCAGAGTCCCACAGTCAGTGACTTGGGGAGGCTGGCGGCCGAGAAGCAACTCTGGAGAACGCAGCGGCCACGCTTATATCCCGCCCTGACCCGCACACCCCCAGCTGGGCCAGGAGGCTGCAAGCAACCTCTTCTAAAGAAGGGGCACTCACCTGCTTCAGGTGGACGCTCGCAGGGGCCGCAGGGCCGGCGAGAAGCAAGCCTAGGGCCAGCAGCAGCAGCAGCAGCGGCGGCGGCGAAGGAGCCTGCAACAGGGGCTGCATCGCGAAGGACGGGTCTGCACCGAGTTAGCCTCAGGATCCCCGGTGGCGGCCGCGGGCCTTTAAATGCGTGCCGGCGGCGCTTATGCAAAGCTGGGCATTGCTATGCAAAGCCGAGCCCGGCCTCTGGCAGGCCCGCCCCGCCCCGCCCCGCCCGGCCAGACGTTTCCGGGCCACGACTGTGACGGATCTCGCCCGGCCCCGCCCCCGGCTCTGGGCCGTGCAGGCGCTCGGCCTGGCTTGGGGGTGTCCAGGCCACTTTGCGGAGGGGCGTGGGCGGGGCCGGGGGTAAGGGGCGGGGCCGAGTGCGGGGGGCGGGGCTGTGGTTTCCGATCTCGTGCTGTGACCGTCACCCCCGGAAGGACCTTTAGGAACCCGCGGTTGCGGGGTTTCCACACCCAAGCCCTTCTTGGCAAAAACGTCACGCTCCCTGCCCGCGCTACGCTTCCCCGTATCCGCGTTGCGAATCACGGTGCCTTTTTAATAATTACTACAGTCACTGTAACTCACATTTGGTAAGCGCTTGGAGGCAGGCCAAGGGCTTAGGAAGGAATCCATTTTTCCCCTGTTTTGGCACTGAGGCGAGGGACACACAGCGAGGCTAGCTCTGCTGGGGCGGCAAAGCCAGGAAGTGGCAAAGCAAGGATCCTGCTGAGAGACCACTCGGCCAAGGTTTTGCTAGGTGTCTGCACTAGTGGAGGTTTTTGTTCCAGCAGGTGTGAGCAGCTCTTGGCCAAAGAAAAACCCCAGCGGCACAAGGAGAGTCGGAGAGTCAGCTTTATTTCGCAGGCGGGCTCAGAGAGGCACATCTGCCACCAAACTCTGAGCGCCCCTTTTTCGTTTTCTTTTAGTTTTATACCTTTTTGGGGGGTTACAGTTAGCCAATGGCAAGTTTTCACAAAAGCCACCTCATTTACATAGTAGTCAGCCAATAGTCAGAAGTATGTCCCAGGCCAGGCAAGGTGGCTCACGGCTGTAATCCTAGCACTCTGGGAGGCTGAGGCCAGAGTGCTCGAGGTCAGGAGTTCGAAACCAGCCTGAGTCTCGCTATAAATAGAAAGAAATTAATTGGCCAACTAATATATATAGAAAAACTTAGCCGGGCATGGTGGCGCATGCCTGTAGTCCCAGCTACTCGGGAGGCTGAGGCAGTAGGATCGCTTGAGCCCAGGAGTTTGAGGTTGCTGTGAGTTAGGCTGACGCCATGGCACTCACTCTAGCCTGGGCAACAAAGCGAGACTCTGTCTCAAAAAAAAAAAAAAAAAAAAGAAATATGTTTCAAAAGTTACTTCATTTACATGGTAGTCAACCAATCAGAAGTATGACCCAAAATCACCTCATCAGCTGTATTCGTAGCTGCTCAATTTAGGAGCGGGATAAGCAGAACGGGTGGAACGCCCTGACAGTTTGCTTTAAAAAAATAAAAAAGATCTAGACTTTACAACTACCTAAAATAAATAAATAAATAAATAAATAAAATAAAAAAGAATATTAATGCCACCAAATTACCACTAGATGTAAACTCCACAAGGCGAGGGATCATGACTTTAGTCACTAACGTATGCCCAGTGCCTGACACATGATAGACAATCAATCTTTGTTGAATAAATGAATACATGAGTCGAATTTAAAGCTCACCTAGTCATCTCTTTTTATACCAAGGTTTTATTTTGGTACTAATTTTAGGTTTACAGAAAAGTTGCAAAAATAGTACAAAACTCTATTCCAGTTTCCCCCATTGTTAACATTAAGATATCATGGTACTTTCATAAAAACTAAGAACATGACATTGTGGACTAAAGTAAAATTTTAAGGCTCACCCCACCACCACCGGCTGACTAAATGGACACCCTCGTGGCCAAAGGAATATCCTAAAACTAAATTGTCTGCCAGGAGGAGGGAAGTCAGGCATCCTTCATCATGACCCCCTCCCTTCTTGGGGACATCCTTTGTAACCCACTAACAGGCCTAAGGGTATGCAAGACAAACCTACAGGTCCTCAATTTAGGGCAACAAACCTATGTCAGGTGGCTTATCTCTGATAACAGCTCCTATGTTAAAACATTCCAAGCCTTTAAACAAAGCTTCATGTCTTTAACCAATTACAAGTCAAAGAATCTTTAAACCCACCTATAATCTGTGAATCCCACCCCCTACTTCGAGATGGCCCACCTTTTTGGGCCAAGTCAATGTATGACTCCCATGTATTGATTTATGACTTTACCTGTTACCCCTGTCTCCCTGAAATGTATAAAACCAAACTGTAACCTAACCACATAGAGTCCACTTGCTCAAGGCCTCTTGGGTGTGGCTCCGGGTCATGGTCCTCAAATTTGGCTCAGAATAAATCTCTTTAAAATTATTTTACAGAGTTTGGCTTTTTCCATTGACAACATTGGTACATTACTATTAACCAAACTCTATACCAGGGGTCCTCAAACTTTTTAAACATGGGGCCAGTTCATTGTCCCTTAGACCATTGGAGGGCCGGACTATAGTTTTAAAAAAACTATGAACAAATTCCTATGCACACTGCACATGTCTTATTTTGAAGTAAAAAAACAAACAGGCAAAAACACCCGCATGTGGCCTGCGGGCGGTAGTTTGAGGACACCTGCTCTAGACTATACCAAACAATTCTCCCGTTCTGATAAACTCTTCCCTGTCTCACCCAACCTCTTCATTACCACAAGTGCAACTGGAGGTCTGGAGAAGAGGGCTTGCCTGATGTCACATTGCAGAAACAAAACCAGAACACATTTCTCCTGAGGTTGCTCCGTGGGTTGTATGAGAGGCGCCCATGAGGCTCCTTCTTGGTGGACTTGTGTATGTGGGGGTGGGGGGAACCCCGTGCCCAAACTGGTATGCCCTGGAGCCTCATTGGGAAATAGGAAGGGGGCTGCAGACCCTTCCAGCACCATTCCTTCTTCATCTTTATAGCAGCCAAGTCACCTCTACCCCATCACCCACTTCCTCCTGTCTCCTAATGTTAGAGGCAAGGACCCTCAAAGACCCTCAACTCCCCTATGACTCGTCCTACACACAGACTTCGCCCTGGAAAATTCCAGCTATAGCTTCTGAGAAGAATGCAGTCCATGATGTGCTGACACGGGGAGGCTCCAGGGTGTGCTTGACTGCAATTGTCCGACCACCTGCAGTTAGAGATGAGTAAACCAGTCAAAAACAGGATACCGATAAGACGCTGATTTGGGCTGATTAACCCAGACCCAAGCCTCATCGTCAACACTCTTTTTTTGCCCTTACTTCCTTGTTTTTGTATGCTTATAAACTACTAAATCTAAGTAAAGCAGACCTTGACAATCATCGCTTGGTCTCGTTTCCTTTCTCTCGCTCATCTCTTTCAGGCACGGTCCCCCTTGCCCCCGCGAGTAACAGAAGGTCCCGCGGGCCGGGACATCCTAAATACTCCATTCTCTCAGCCTCAGACTCACTCCATCAGCACACAAGGAGGTCAATGACCCTGGGCAGTAAAAGCTGAGCTTTCCCAGATGCCTTCGATGACCTCTCCATGGACTGGCATATTCCTTTCAGTCTGGAGTAGTTGGCATTTCCATATGAAGTGCTTTGGAGGAAATTCTTGAAAGCCACAGACATTGTAACTAGAAATCAAGGCCACCACGATGGAAGGAGGGAAGGAACAGTGGCTTGTTCAGAGTGCTTGCTCCAAGTCAGGTAGACCCGCTTGCACCCTGGCCCTGCCAGCTACTTACTGGGAGAGCCTGGGCAGGGGCCTTAACTTCTCTGGCCTCAGTTTCCTCATTGGCAAAACAAGGATTTAAAATAATAATAATGAAACTACCTCTCAGTGATAAGCTAGTCACCTATTCACTTATAAAGCCATCAAGTGAACAAGATAAAGGCCTGCCCCACCCCCACTGACACACTCCCAGACCCACTAAGACAAGGGTCTTAGCAAAGAGCAATCAGCAAGATGACACCATCAAGTGTTAATACCAGCAGACAGAAAATCAGGTTCAAGTAATACCAGGTAGGGGTGGGTTGCCACTTTCTGAGGAAGTGGACTTTGACCATCCTTGGGGAAAATGAGAAACATGTGGGGAAAGAGCCAATGTGAAGAGTAAACATGGTCAAGACCATCAGGCCATGGTTCCAGGGCTAGACACTGCAGTCCTTTGGGAGCTTTTGAAAATCCCAACCCACAGGCCACACTCTAGACAGTAAATCTCTGGAGATGGGACCTAACTATTGATACTTTTTTAAAAATCCCAGGTGATTCAAACATTCAGCCAAGGTTGACATACAATGACATAAAGCACTAGGCATTCATAAATATGTGTGCACATACGCAAAAGTGGCAATTACTGAAACAAGATCCCTGTCCTTAAAGAACTCAGGTTTTAGGAGTGATGGGTTAGAAAAACTGGAAGTTGTTACCACCTTACTATTAATGACAATGGGCTTCCTGGAGGGGTAGGGTCTGGGCCTTGGAATAAGATAGCCCAGGACAACCTACCAGCCATGCTTGTGTATGGTGTGGTGAGTGTAATTGAGGACCAGGCATGTATCCAAAGGTTGTGGGTGGGTGGGTATGTATGTGTATATGTGTGCCCTGCCTGTAGAGAGTACTTACCACCTCAAATATGTATGAAGCAGGCATGTGGGTCACATGTAGACATCACAGATAGGTGATGCAAGCCTCAAACATAATTTGTTTGTCTGAATGGTGTTTCTTAGAAAATTTTACTTAGTTGCTAAGGTATAATTTTAAAAGGTGATTTCTCATTAAATTACAGGTTTCCAGCTTATCCTGAAAAATCAGAGAATCTGGAAACACCTGCTTGCATTCTCACAGGGCAACGGGGTCCATTGAAGCTGAGCTTCATAGCCCACAGCCACTACAGTATACCCACCTCCCATTTTTTTATCACTTGGTCCCTGTGAGGTGTCAATCCCAAAATAAGTCAGGATATCTGCTTTTAAATTTTGTTATT